GTAATGACCTCAAGTAAACATTTCACTAACAGCAGCACCAAATGACGACTTCTATGCCAGCTGACTAAACAACTTTTTGGGATTTCACAAGCTGATTGATCAAAAATGGGCCTTTGCCCTTATACGGCCAACATGGCAACCAACTCAAAACCAACAGCAATCAAAAACAAGGTAGGTGGACAGAAATACCCTTCAACAAAAATCATTGGTTTCAGCTTCTTTTTCCACAATCTTCATGCATAAGTAACATGCATCATCAGAAGCAACTCAAGTACAGTCACAGGTAGCACAGTGAATCATCAGAAGGAAGAAGGTCACATAGGTAACAGGTTCAAATGATTGAAGATTTAAGAAGTTGTTGTTCAAAAGAAGGAAACAAACCCCTAATCCGTTCGCACAGCTTTTCTCACAAGTAAACCCACTCGGCAAACCTTACATGAGCAATCAATACACGCATGCAAATGCAATAAACACGAGCAAAAAAAAAGCGCAAACCACATCAACATTGATACAAATTCTGCACCATACCCAGTTGCAAAGAAAAACAGAAAACAGATATGTGACATATGTTCATTCAAACAATAAACGCTTAAAAGAATAGGTATAAAAGTAGTAAGTTAATTTACGTAGGTAAGGTAAGTATATTTAGGTTATCAAAAAATGCACTAGTAAATGGTTGCCCTAAATTTAATCAAACATTAGTGAATTTGGTTGTAGGTCAAATTACTAATTTAGGAGACTTCCATAAGTTTTGTATATCTTTGAGATTTGAAGGGAGAAATGATGAAAAATGCACTGAGGTCACAATAAATATGCATTTTGAGAATACCAAAATCAAAACTTGAAAAAATAAAACACGCCCACTCATACTCCATCATTGCCACAAATTGTCTGCACATTGGCCCCAATATTTGAAATCTTTTAAATCTGTTAAAGTTCTGGGGAATTAAAAGATTTAAATTTAAATCGTGAGCTGACCCTATTGTTGGAGGATTCCTGGAGACTTCAAAGATTTAAAAGAATTAAAAGATTTAAAAGAATTAAGTATTTAATCTTTTAAATCTTTTAAAGCTCTGAGGAATTAAAAGATTTAAAAGAATTAAATATTTAAATCTTTTAAATCTTTTAAAGCCCTGAGGAATTAAAAGATTTAAAAGAATTAAATATTGAAATCGTTTAAATCGTTTAAAGCTCTGGGAAATTAAAAGATTTAAAAGAATTAAATATTTAAATCTTTTAAATCTTTTAAAGCTCTGAGGAATTAAAAGATTTAAAAGAATTAAATATTTAAATCTTTTAAATCTTTTAAATCTTTTAAATATTTTAAATCCCCAAAGGACGTGAGATTCTGGGGACCTCTTGGGATTTAAATCTTTTAAATCTTTTAAAGCTCTGGAGAATTAAAAGATTTAAAAGAAGTAAATATTTAAATCTTTTAAATCTTTTAAAGCTCTGGTGAATTAAAAGATTTAAAAGAATTAAATATTTAAATCTTTTAAATCTTTTAAAGCTCTGGGGAATTAAAAGATTTAAAAGAATTAAATAGTGAGCTGACCTATTGTTGGAGGCAGGATTCATGGAGTTCAAGATTTTTAAAAAGATTTAAAAGAATTAAAAGATTTAAAAAATTAAATATTTAAATCTTTTAAATCTTTTAAAGCTCTGGGGAATTAAAAGATTTAAAAGAATTAAATATTTAAATCTTTGAAATCTTTTAAAGCTCTGAGGAATTAAAAGATTTAAAAGAATTAAATATTTAAATCTTTCAAATCTTTTAAATCTTTTAATTCTTTTAAATATTTGAAATCCCCAAAGGACGTGAGATTCTGGGGACCTCTTGGGATTTAAATCTTTTAAATCTTTTAAAGCTCTGGAGAATTAAAAGATTTAAAAGAATTAAATATTTAAATCTTTTAAATCTTTTAAAGCTCTGAGGAATTAAAAGATTTAAAAGAATTAAATATTTAAATCTTTAAAATCTTTTAAAGCTCTGGGGAATTAAAAGATTTAAAAGATTTAAATCGTGAGCTGACCCTATTGTTGGAGGATTCCTGGAGAACCTTCCAAAGATTTAAAAGAATTAAAAGATTTAAAAGAATTAAAGATTTAAAAAATAAATTAATATTTAAATCTTGTAAATCTTTTAAAGCTTCTGAAGAATAAAAGATGGTAAAAGAATTAAATATATAAATCTTTTAAATCGTTTAAAGCTCTGGGGAATTAAAAGATTTAAAAGAATTAAATATTTAAATCGTTTAAATCTTTTAAAGCTCTGAGGAATTAAAAGATTTAAAAGAATTAAATATTTAAATCTTTTAAATCTTTTAAATCTTTTAATTCTTTTAAATATTTTAAATCCCCAAACGACGTGAGATTCTGGGGACCTCTTGGGATTTAAATCTTTTAAATCTTTTAAAGCTCTGGGGAATTAAAAGATTTAAAAGAATTAAATATTTAAATCTTTTAAATCTTTTAAAGCTCTGGAGAATTAAAAGATTTAAAAGATTTAAATCGTGAGCTGACCCTATTGTTGGAGGATTCCTGGAGACTTCAAAGATTTAAAAGAAAAAGATTTAAAAGAATTAAAAGATTTAAAAGAATTAAATATTTAAATCTTTTAAATCTTTTAAAGCTCTGAAGAATTAAAAGATTTAAAAGAATTAAATATTTAAATCTTTTAAATCTTTTAAAGCTCTGGGGAATTAAAAGATTTAAAAGAATTAAATATTTAAATCTTTTAAATCTTTTAAAGCTCTGAGGAATTAAAAGATTTAAAAGAATTAAATATTTAAATCTTTTAAATCTTTTAATTCTTTGAAATATTTTAAATCCCCAAACGACGTGAGATTCTGGGGACCTCTTGGGATTTAAATCTTTTAAATCTTTTAAAGCTCTGGGGAATTAAAAGATTTAAAATAAATAAATATTTAAATCTTTTAAATCTTTTAAAGCTCTGAGGAATTAAAAGATTTAAAAGAATTAAATATTTAAATCTTTTAAATCTTTTAAAGCTCTGGGGAATTAAAAGATTTAAAAGATTTAAATCGTGAGCTGACCCTATTGTTGGAGGATTCCTGGAGACTTCAAAGATTTAAAAGATTTAAAAGATTTAAAAGAATTAAAAGATTTAAAAGAATTAAATGTTTTAATCTATTAAATCTTTTAAAGCTCTGGGGAATAAACAGATTTAAAAGAATTAAATATTTAAATCTTTTAAATCTTTTAAAGCTCTGAGGAATTAAAAGATTTAAAAGAATTAAATATTCAAATCTTTTAAATCTTTTAAACCTTTTAAATCTTTTAATTCTTTTAAATATTTTAAATCCCCAAAGGACGTGAGATTCTGGGAACCTCTTGGGATTTAAATCTTTTAAATCTTTTAAAGCTCTAGAGAATTAAAAGATTTAAAAGAATCAAATATTTAAATATTTTAAATCTTTTAAAGCTCTGGAGAATTAAAAGATTTAAAAGAATTAAATATTTAAATATTTTAAATCTTTTAAAGCTCTGGAGAATTAAAAGATTTAAAAGAATTAAATATTGAAATCTGTCAAATCTTTTAATTATTTCAATTCTTTTTATTCTTGTAAATCTTTTAAATCTATGAAGTCTCGAGCAGCCAGCATATGCATAATATGACCTAAAGGTCCCTCATACATATATATATATATCTGGGCAAATTAAAATATTTCACTACCCTGAATTAAGGCCATTTGGGGATGATTTCCCTTATTAACCATGATTCCCAGTGAGATCGCGGTGAGGTCGTTGTAATTTACCCATATATATATATACATGTGTGTGTGTGTGATAGCGACAAACTTGGGATATTCTATGAACAACTGGCTTGCAATATGATCATTGCTCTCGACCGGGACGCACTCCCAACCATTACTCAATCTGAAGGCAGGGGGCGCGGCACCATGTCACACTTTGTCAAAATGACCTAGCACAGGGCCGGAAAAATGGGAGAGGAGCAGAAGCAGGTTCAGCCAACAAGAAAACATGAGACATGTATGGTCGGGTTGGAAACTCTATATATGTAGATATGTGCCATGGTCATTATCATTGCCATTGTCATTCCCATTCTCATTCTCATTGTCAATCAATATCAATATCTATACCTATATCTATACCTCTAGATCTCTCGCTCTCTCTCTCTCTATATATATATTAAAACAATATATACATATATATATATATATTATATTATATATATCTCTCTCTGTATCGCCATCCCGAAGGCCAGACTGAGGGCGAGCACTGGGGGATCCCAAACACAATGGCTTTCAATACACAAATGGTCTCAGTGATGATTTGGGAGTACCCCAATTTTCGGAAACCTGTCAAAAATGATGTCCATCCAATGCAAGTATTTGCCTTGAACATTTTGGAATGCAACAAACATGGATCACCAGATGGAGTGGTCTAAATCGTCTATCGCCCTGGGCCTGTTGCATCCGGCTCTTCGAAGCCGGGGTTCAACAGTGAGGTGAAGTAGCTACCCTTGTAACATAGTTGTGGAAAATGGTGATCTTACATAGCTATGTTATGTGAAATTACCAGAAGATACAGCACATGGTTCGCGTCAGTTCTCATCCCAAAAACATTAGCCAAGGCAAAGGCGACAAGAATTTTTTCCCTTAAGCCCCCCATGTTTATTGGCCAAAAAACCACATATTCACTACTTAACATCACTTTTACATCCTTGGATGTGCATCCCAGTTAAAGTATTGAGAGGTTTATGCCCTCTATATATGACTATCCAGGAACCCACATATTACCGGCTCATACTACGGTTATTTAATCACTGCATTTGAAGGGAAATGGAAAGACCCTACCATTTCCAAACTAGCATGCCCAAGTAGTGGACAAACCAACATCACCTCCATGTTTTTCCCCAGCCCAAACCAGCCAACAAAACACATTTTGGGTCGGTGATTTGTGCCAACAACCCCCAATTTTTTTTTCATAAGTTCACCGACATTTTTGGTGAAAAATCACCCGGAAAAATCGAAGTTTTCGCCCATTTTCCCATCCATTGGACCATTGGACCGCCAAGGCGGCGCCTGCTTCATGGGCCCCGCAGAGCCCAGCTCCGTGAGCCACTCGTGGTCCGTCCACTTGAAGCCGTGCCGGGCGTCCACCAGGACGTAAAGAGCGCGCAGGGAGGTCCTTGGCTGCTGGGTTCAAGGGATTCTTGTTTGGCTGGTAGGGGTTAGGCTTATGATAAAATAATTGTATAAAGATACCTACGATAATATAACTATATAAAAAACAATATATATTATATTATATTATATTATGTTATATTATATTATATTATCTTAAATTATATTATATTATATTATATTATTATATTATATTATATTATATTATATTATTATATTATATTATATTATACTATATTATATTATATTATATTTATAATATATTATATTATATTATATTTATAATATATTATATTATATTATATTTATAATATATTATATTATATTATAATATATTATATTATATTACATATATACACAAGCAACTACATCTATAATACATATATAGGGTTTACTACATGAATATTAATGTATCTATATTAATGATAAAACCAAGCAGTAATAAGCACCCGGTCGGGATATCAAGCTGGATATAATAGAGATATACACTCCGGTGTCATCAAGCATGGAGGTTTACTGGAAAATCATCGCCGTGTGATGGATTTCCAACTGCCATGTTTAAAAAACTTGCTTCACAGTAGGTTGGCAGGGTTTTTTTCTTGGGGATCATACGATTTTTGAAAGATGTTTATCCAAGAGAAAAGCTACTATTTGTTGCATGGATCTTATTACATCTTATTCCATCTTCAACATATTCGGAGATGTTGTATGTAGAAGTGCTGGGTAGTTCTATTTGTCGGTAAGTCTCTTCATTGATAGGTCACCTCCGAAATTTTGCTGCTGAGATCTCCGTTTCTTCTGGTTCACAACCATAATCTTTCATCTTTTCACTTTGAACTTTGGACACTTAGATAGCTTGCTTCTTCATCAGCATCCCCTTTTCTAACATGTATTACCGCATTTCACAATATTTTGCACATTTAGATGGTCATGGTTTTCGAGTTTACTTCTCAACATCCAAATTTTCCAAAACCAAATCCATCATTTTCCCACAACCATAAGTTTTGCTTGGTTTATGACCTTTCCGGCTTTTTGCCCACCCATACCCCACCCCTCCCCACTTCCACCGAGGTGCCGGTTCCGCACGAATTCCAAGGCCTCGGGCCCAAAGACCTTGGCCCGGGCGGAGTGACCGTAGCCGGGCATGTCGATGAAATCCAAACGCACCTTGCGGTTGCGGTACCTGGGTGAGATGCGACCAGGCTTGGGTGGGTGGGGTGGGCTGGGAAAACCTGGAAAAGATTTGCTCTGGGACATCATCATTGTCCTTATATGTCCTTATCAAATTTCCCAATGCAGCCATGGCTCCAAGCCGCTTGTTTGGTTTGCCCCGGCATTGAAGACACTTTGGCCACGGTGCCGAACTGCGAGACGCGGTTCAGCAAGGAGGACCTCACCCAGCGGCACTGGAAGATCTGGCAACCCATCATCCTTTCATTCGGGAGATAGGTTATCTACATGTCCATTCTTGTTTTTGTGTCATCATGGTTCATCCCATTCCCATCTTCAACAGGTCTTGGACATAGTTGCGGCTTCCCATCTTCACTGATGACATGTATAATAATCACCCTCTGGTAAACAAACTATTGAAAATGGACCATATATATAGATGATTTACCTATAAACTGGTGATTTTCCATCGTTTTTTGTATGTTTAGAGGATACACAGCATTTCCATCGATTTCCCGCATGGTTTGGAGCGCTACACCGTGGCCGTGCGACTTCCCCACGTTGGAGCGGCCAATCAAGGCCACCTCGGGATAACCTGGATCCGGCTTCGGCCAGTGCTTGGAGTGCAGCCTCGGGACAGCACCGTTGAAGGAAAGCATTGGGAAGTAGCCTGTGACTATAAGATACTATAAGTGCAACCTTATCTTCAGATATTTACAATATAACTATAACTATAAATTAATATATCTATATATCTATAATGATAATTATATATATATATATATCAACCACTATCATGATTGACGAGAGGAGAACTGATAACGATATAACTCAATATGACTCACATGATAAACATGTTACAAAGACCGCAACAACTAGCCAGTGACTCTTGGGGTATTATTTTGGGATTTGAGCAATCCGTTGCTCGGAACAACCCCCCCACGAACCTGTAAAAAAGCCAATGGCCCATAGCACCAAAAAGGGGCAAATGCAAATGACCAATTTGGCCGAGCTGCAAACCAAGAGATAATGATGAACCAAACAAAAATCCAAGAATCGTGCAATCACTCACAGCATCTTCAGCGAAAACATCCGCGGACTCCACCCTTTGACTACTCTCCAGAAATCAAACATGGCTAGCCGGGAAATCCCCTACAAAATGGACATTGCAATTGGAACATCTTGGAAAATCGGATCAAAACGAAGGATTTTCCAGCGAAGGCGGTCGCAGCCAGGCCAAGGAACAGCGGTGCTTTTGCATAGAGCCGCGTCCGAGACGATGCCTCGGACAGGATGTGTCCAGTTGAAGCCTCCTCCACTGGAACATCACATTTTTCGAAGGGAAAATCCCAGTTACCCTTTGGTAATTTAACATAGCAATGGAAAATCACCATTTTCTGGTTGGTGGTTTCAACATGTTTCAACCCCTCTGCAGAATATTAGTCAGTTGGGATTACTATTCCCAATATATGGAAAAATGTTCCAAACCACCAACCAGTTTTAATATTTTCATACATGGTCCATTTTGCATAGCTATGTTAGTTTCCTGGCGGGTAAGATCCCGATTGAATAGGGCCTAAGAGTCCATCCCGTTCCCATTGTGGATGTAGATCCTCCATTTGCTGGGAATGCCTCTAATAGCATGGCAAGATCATGGAATACCTCTTCACCTCTATACCTGTATGGGAGGCTCTTATTATCACACTTGCATTTACAGATTCCAGAAAATCCGCAGATTTGCATTATCACAACTATAGAGGGGATTAGAGGGGGTTAAAATGAATCGTTTGGACCTTCATCGGATGCTTTTCCCATCTTAAAATTGCAACCTTCTGCCAAGAAAAACCAACCGCAGTTTTCCAGCTATCCAACCGACCAAAACCCATCTCGTTTGAGCTGCGAGTTGATTCGCTTTCAAATCCAAGGCAGTGGGCTCTTTGGGCTTCCTGATCCGACGTGAGGCGAAGATTCTTCGGGCTTTGGTAAAAATAATGACAACGAAATATATGACAGCACCCCCAAGTCATAGATAGAACAGTTGGACAACAGGAAATATGAACTTGATATCATCCAACTACCATCCTGGAAACACTCTTCTATCTTTTCTAGGGTTGCTATAAATATATTGTAAAGATATGCCGATGTGCCTTGTTTTTTAATGTGAGTTTTCCCAGGACGTGCAGTAAGCCAAGGCACTATCGAGAAATTATCTTTCTAATTTCAAGCAATGTACACAATCATCTTGGTGCTGCATTTTGGTTGATACTCTGCACCAAACGACAAGCCTCAGTCCCTCTATCAGGCGGCTTGAAAGCCCACAGGCTATTGAACTCGTACACTACACTACACCGCTCCAGTTGGCAATTCTAAGCTCATACCCCACCCCGGCAACAACCTGCCAATCCAGTCATTCCCGCCATGTATCGTCTTCAGCTTGGCCGCGTGGTAGGACCGCTGCAGACCGCCTTTGCCCTGGAAGTTCTCCTCGACTTGTCGCACCACATCAGGGTAGGGCGCGATGTGCCGCAGGCGTTCGTTGAAGGGCCTGGGGTCGTGCTGCTGGTCTTGGGCGGTGTTCCTGGTGAATGTTAAATCTCATGATTCCTTCCCGAATGTCAACTACCCAACTGTAAACTGTAGATCCTATAAAACCATACAAAACCATGGTATTAGATGGTGGGAAGGAATACCGAAAGTTACGCCCTAGCGCTTGGATCTCCAACAAACATGGACCTTGGAAAAGTGTCTTTCTTTGACATGGCCCAAGGCACTGATGCATTGGTGAGTACGCCAGTTCCTTCTCCTCCAATCAACTCATGCTCGATTCGTGGATTCCGTGGGTCCCTCTAAGGTCCCTCTAGCCCCAAAGAAATGGCGGTGCCATGGGGTAACACAAGCACCAATATCACCAATCATATCTATGAATTTAATTTTTACCCTTACCAAAGGTTCGAGAAGACAACGCGGGTGGAAAAACTGCACCCTTGACAAACTGCATGGTGGGGTTTGTCCAGAATCATGGGTGACTGCATCAGGTATTTTGATGGCAGGGGTTTGTCTTGGAGTTCACTTGGATAATGAAAAATCCAACCATGGAGTATAGCAAGAACCTATGCTTGACTTGATGACTTAGTCTGTCATGGGTTCATTCCCGCAAAACAATTACAAATGAATCCATGACATGACCATGCAAAAAACTAGAACATGTTTTTGGCCAGAGCTGGTAGATCTGATCTAGGAAAGGGTGGAGTATTGTATGCTGTGATATATCCATCTATCATCCCCTCCCTCCCTTATCTCAAATCCAAAGTCCCGTCTAACTGGGCAAACGGCCGAGTTGATCAAAATTGCAGCAAAAACCATAAGACATCATTTTCCACCCATCTGCCCAGAAGTCGCCCAGAAAGTCTCCTTCTTCTTCCCCTCGTCCTCCGTTTCTTCCGTTTCTTCCGCTTTCCGCGGTGCCACCGCCGGCAGCGTGCTGCCGGGGCGGTACGGCGACTGCTCCGGCCGCGGCGCGGTTCCACTGCGCCGGAAGCCGCGCGCGTCGTCGAGGTCCCGCGGGGCGCGGAGCCAGGGAGCCACGGCACAGAGGCGCCAGGTGAAGAACAACAGGGGAACCTCAAAAATGATGGGCCGAAAGTTGGTAAGTGGGCTTTCTTATGGTTACCGTGTGGGCAAATAAATAAACGTAAAAACAAAAATAAATAAATAAAATTAAATAAATAAATAAATATATATATATATATATAAACACACATATATATATACCAATGTTAAATATCCGGATGTTACTGTAGGTGGGAAGACTAGGCTGGTGGTTCGGTAAGTTAAATAGAATTGTAAAACTATAGGGATATATAGGGATGTTAAGCCTCGCGGCTAAGTTGCCTACATGCTGAGTAGCTGGGCTGACTAGATCGATTGTAGGTGGACAAACGATCGTTCAAGTGAACAAGGCGGGAAATTCAGGGGGGTCAACTCCTACTATCTCCTACTTAGGTGAAGCTTGTAATAATGGTTTTTTCTTACTTATATCCAGTTGCAACGGCCAGCACTACCAACCAACAGAGAATAAGAGTATATAACTAGAATATACCTTTACCTACCAGCAGAACCTGACGATGGACCTGGGTGCTCCAAGAGCCATCACAGGTGCTTTCATCTGCAATCGCCCAAGCCACTACCCATCTGACAGCGCAATGGATGGACACGCCAAACAGTGTGTCCTTCTTGCGAAGGCCGGTGCTTGATCAGGGTGCTTCCGGCTCTTTTCCCATTAATTATCGCATAAAATAGCTGTTGTATGCTCTCGTGACATGTCCATGTGCATTTCGACTGTGCTGGCTCGCACAAAGTCTGCCGCGCGAGTTTTCCTTGGTCTTGGGGCGCAGCATTTTTCCCGTAAATTCTCGCATGAAATGGCTCTTGTGACAAGCCCATGTGCGTTTCGACTCTGCAGGCTCGCACAAAGTCTGCGCCGCGGGGTTCTCAAGCTCTGGGTCTTCGGCCGGCATTTTCATTGTAAATTCCTGCATACAGGGGCTCTTGAGAAGATCCTGTTAACTTCCTCCCTTAGAGGTTCTGAACAGAAGATCTTGTGGAGATCCTGGTGAGATCCTCTCTAAGAGGTCCTTGCATGAGGAGCTTGCAGATGTCATGTCTTAGAGGTGCCTGTATGAAAGCTCTCGTGGGAAGCCTCTGGGAGGTTCTTGTGTCAAGATCTTGTAAGGTCCGCTCCAGAAGCAACAGGTCCTTTTATGACGATCTTGTGAGAATTTAGCTATATCCGTTTCATCATCTTCACCCGTTCGCTAATCCATTGTAAACGCCAGGTACTCACTGGTTTTTGAGATGGGCCATAGGATTGGCTAACTGGTGACCTTGCCTGGGTTATACCCCACGAACTATCCGAATTTTCACCCATTTACAATTTACCAATCAGCCGAAACTGAATAAATGGGTGTTAAGAATGATTCAACTAGTTCTCCACTTAGCTACCAAGTTCGTTAACTAGTGGCTTTAAGTATCTACCACCCAGTAACTAACCCGTCTAGGGATCTTGGTGGCCCCCAGCACCAAGTCGCCACGCACACAGCGGCACTTCTCCTGGAACTTGCCATGGCACGGAACGGCGTTTTCGCAGCCACTCGCGATTTTGTGCTTCTTTATTTATCTACCTGTTGGGGTTGAATGGGGGAAACCTTCTAGTAATCAATGGGAATAGGAAATGTATGGCTTCAGAACTGTTCCGATATATCGTATATGTATCTATATGCATGGTACTGAGACGAAGAATGAGGGTCAACATTGAGTCAACATGGTCGGTCAGTGTGAGAATTCTGCTTGTCTGCGGAAGACCATAGTTGTGCTGATGTTTGGGCTGTGAAGGTCGGGTAGGGACGCTCCTGGAGCGGTTTGTTTTGTGAAATGACAAAGTTTCCCAAACTGTTTATAAAATCGTAACAGTAACGCTCCCAGCAGCCAATTTCCAACTCTGTATCCTCTTTTGGAATAAGCTCCCATGCAACTTGGCATGCCAATCCGGAAAAAAACGACTCGAGCCGAGAAAACGGATTTGCGAGGATTTGGGTATTTGCAGCCATGACGCCTCTGGATGGATCTATTTCAGCCGGAAATGGCTGTTGAGACAGCAGATTGCCCAAAGAAGGCTCGAGGACCCCATCTTTTGAGTTGGAAAGTGTCTGGAACCACAACAGCAGCCATGTTCTTGTGTTCCTATCTTTGGTAGCTAACCCGATGAATTGATCATGGCCGCTCTTGCCAATGATGTCTGCTGTGGCACTGCTGTGGGGTTGATTATACAGAAAGATGTGACCCCCTCATCATCGCATTAGATCGAAACTCACCACTTTCTCCAAGGCGCAGGGGAGGTATGGGCGCCAAAGCATCCCACGCGCGACCTGGCGGTGGTACTTTTCCTCAAAATGATGGTTCCAGATGATTCCAAAAACAATAGGGTCTAGACATCATGCTAAGGGTTCAAAACCAAACACGTGAAGGAGCACGCAAAGTTTTAAATGTTGATTCATATCCACAGATTCATGGAAACCGCGTGTAAGAAAATGGGAATAACTTGCTCATCCGGACCTTCTAAATCTGGCCGTCAAACGTTTACCACGTGACCCTGTTGGTTGCTGGGGGGTAGTTCAGATTGAGCTCCCTGATGCAATCCCGCAGCTTTGTGGGACCGAGGGTGGCCAGCTTGTAGTAACTTATATATATATATATTTCCAATGCACGGGTGTCGTGCATACCCAAAAGGCAATTGGCATGAACTCTGACAGTTTGGCCCCCCTGAAAATACAACCAATTTGTTCTTTACCTTGCATCATTCAATAAATTTTAGCCGGGATATACCATGGATATATATATATATATAGATATATAAATATAAAAACACTCAAAATTACTTCCCCATGTCTGGTTACAAATCAACCCGTTCATCCGCCATTCACCAGTCAGAAGGCCCACTGTGCACCACCTCCTGGTCGCAAAAGCGCAGGTGGGAAGGATGGCCTAGGCTTGATCACATGGAACCACGACCTGTGAGAGCGCAAACTATCTCTGTGCGATTTGATTTGATGTGACTTTACTCTTGAATATGGGCATTCAGCAAAAACCAGGGAACACTTGACCAGACCATACCGATATGAACAAACAACAACCAATAAGTATGTCGCAAGACGACCTTACACAAAACAACAGCGGGAACATAAACTTTACATGCCAAAGGAGAACTCGTGTGCCGTGATTTTGTCTAAAACTTTCCTTTTCCAACAACATGCCACTGAATCGCTCAGTATGCCGCTGAAACATGGCCGAGCTCAGCCTACATCGGGCCACGCCGTGCCGGACTTTGCAGCGCGGCAGTGGTGGCAGCAATGGTGTTGAAAAGTGATGGTAGATGATGATGGATGCCGGTCAATGGGAGATCAAGACAAAATTGAATGATTGGGCATGGACATTGGATGTGTCATTTCTGCTGGTGCAGGCCCAACTCGATGTAAGGTAGCCAACGGTTACCAACCACGCAGTCAACATTGACATTGAGTCAGGCAGCCCTTTTGATCCTTTTAGCTGGCCTTACTAGGTGCCGTCCGGCCCCATGTGACGCACAGCTGGTATTTGAATGGCTGTTGTTTGGACATGTTACACACACACACACGGGGACCGATATGTGCCATTGTGTTTGACAAATGTCTTTTCGCCACAGCAACCGGGCACATTATTACAAAGACCATCCAAGAACACCAAAAACCTTTCATTGCTTGATCTCCCATAGGTTCCCGTGTTCTTCTGCTGGTCGTCTTACCAGAGAGACCAATTGCCAAGTGCCAAGTGCCAACCACATTTCAGCACCCAAAAATTCTGAAAGGACATGGGAACGGAAACGTGTTTGAGCATGCGAAACCTGTTTGCAACATCGGCCAACCTTCAAATGATATCAAATGATAACATGCTCATTAAGTGACGCCCTCACAAAGTAGCAAGGAGTTTACATGAGTTTCCCAATCCGGGGTTGGCGCAGTATTCTGATCTTGTGTTGGAGGAATGGTGGGCCCCCGCTCTTTGCCTCAAGCTGTCACAAAGGCCAAGGTGTTGGGATCGTGTTTCTCAAGAACTTGCCACCAAACGCAGTCTCTTTTCACCTGGCGGCAGTGTGAGCAGGAGTCCGTCCTTTATGATCTTTATGCTGGGAGAGCCACCACGGTGCCCACACAAATATGGTTTGGCTCCTCCTGATGACGAGCCATGGAGGAAGTGACCTCCATAATGCGTCATGGTGCCACATATCGCGCTTTGGATGGGAGCTGCGCATGGAGAACAGGATCGAGGCCCTTCACTTTGGCAAAGCCAGCGCCCTTGGGAAAGACAACTCGCATGGGCTCGGTATCTCAGGCGAGATTCGGCAGCTGCAGCTTTGAAGTAGGCCTGGTAGAATGGTTGTTTGACTGTGTGAAGTCCTGGGCGCCGTCATAGAGTTGTAGATGATTGCAGATCGTCATCCCCAAGTGATGGCTGATTGATTGATGGCGGGGAATTATCACAGAATGGGCCTTACTGCAAGTTGACAATTCTGATATTATGGAGCTTGTCTTCATGGTGGCATGTCAACCAATCTTCTCGGACACCCTGGCAACACCTAGCACCTGATGACGGTAGCCGTCCTGATCATAAGGGGTCACGACAGCAATTGGGCTGGTCCACCGTAATTATGAATCAAACGCAACTGGGGTGATCCTAGCGGGTGAACGCCCAAAGAGCTTTTCCGACCAAAACTAAGCTCTTGGATTGTCGCAGCCAATGCCTTTTGCAGGTCCTTATCTAGCATGACTGGTGATATCTGGTGATGCGACAACCAAGGGTTATGGATTGGAATGCGCCACTGCTCGGGTGTAATTCAAGTTGTGAAAGGACAGCACTTCTAAATAGGCTAACCTGGCTAAGGGAATCCTCATCATGAACAGGGAAACGGAGAGAAGGCCGATGGTTCTGGATCACAACAATCATCAATATCGCTGGCGAAGGGATGCTAATTTCACTGTTTTTCCCAGACAACTTAACACATGTGTTGATATGAATATAAGCCAGCTCGATATACCTGGCTGAAGTGTAACAATTCACCTGTTTGAAATAAAACCGTTTGGGGATATAACTAACCATATTCAACCACCATGTGCAGCGCATTCGTAGTGACGTCATAATAGTTGAAACCCATTTCACAGCCCAATGTTTGGTCCCAGAACTTCGAGGTAAACCTTCTTAGCATACATCTCCAGTTATGGCCAATGAATACTCTACTCATCCAAGGTTGGCCAAGCTGAACAACCCGATTTTCTGGGGATCAACATCTCCGGTAGGGATGGCGACAAATTAGCCATGTGGTGACGCAGGGTTGGCCCCACCAGCCAAGATGAAATCATACAGTCATACAGCTTGCGTCTTGCCTAACCTCTGTAACAGTCGTTAAAACAATTTCTTACTAAACATGCTTCAAATGGAGCACCAAAAAATTACGTTTTTTTTCACGGTTTTCTTCGTGCACCGAATCGTGCTTTTTTGTGGTTTTCTTCGTGCACCAAATCGTGCTTTTTTCTGGTTTTCTTCGTTCACCAAATCGTGCTTTTTTTGAGCTTTCTTCGTGCACCAAATCGTGCTTTTTTGTGGTTTTCTTCGTGCACCAAATCGTGTTTTTTTGTGGTTTTCTTCGTGCACCAAACGGTGCCCCAGTTCATGATAATTTTGCTTCATACACCAAATCGTGCTCTAGTTCGAGCTTTTTTCTGGTTTTCTTCGTGCACCAAACCGTGCTTTTTTTTAAAAAATACTTTTCTTCGTGCACCAAACCGTGCTTTTTTTGTGCTTTCTTCGTGCACCAAACCGTGCTTTTTTTAAAAATACTTTTCTTCGTGCACCAAACCGTGCTTTTTTTTAACTTTTCTTCGTGCACCAAATCGTGCTTTTTTTGTGCTTTCTTCGTGCACCAAACCGTGCTTTTTTTTTTTACTTTTCTTCATGCACCAAATCGTGCTTTTTTCTGGTTTTCTTCGTGCACCAAATGGTGCCCTACTTCGTGCCACTGTTACAGAGGTTAGGCAAGACACAACATACAGCATTACTTGGCACTATTGAATGCTGACCTCTCTTTCTCCCCCTCCTCCCTGCATTTACATGTGTGTAATTATATTTACAAATATGAATATGCATACGTATAGACTAGGAACGAAATATATAGTGCCAAAACATTAGACGCACATTTCACCATCATTTACCTGCCTATCTTGCCTCGTTCAAATCCCATTTTTTGTTGGAAATGGTAAAGGTGGCAATCACAAGCCTCCAATGTTTCATATTTTTCATGCTAAACCATCGGGGTTACGATGAACGTAACGTAAGTATAGCTAGAAGTCAGTTAGGTGAGATGTACAAACAGGGGGCACCACCTTGTGCCAGACTGAAAAGTGATGGTAGATGATGCTGAATGCCGGCCATTGGGAGGTCAAGACGAAATTGAATGATAGGGCATGGACATTGGATGTGTCATTTCTGCTGGTGCAGGCCCAACTCAATGTATGGTAGCTAACGGTTACCAACCACGCAGTCAACATTGACATTGAGTCAAGCAGCCCTTTTGATCCTTTTGGCTGGCCTTACTTGGTGCCGTCCAGCCCCATGTGATGCACAGCTGGTATTTGAATGGCAGTTGTTTGGAAATGTTACCCACACACACGCGCACACACACTCACACTCACACTCACACTCACACTCACACTCACACTCACACTCACACTCACACTCACACACGGGGACCGATATATGTGCCACAATGTGTTTGACAAATATTTTTTCGCCCGGGCGAATTATTACACAGACCATCGCAGAACACCAAAAACCTTTCATTGCTTGATCTCCCATAGGTTCCCGTGTTCTTCTGTTGGTCGCCTTACCGGAGAGACCAGTTGCCAAGTGCCAAGTGCCAATCACATTTCATCACCCGAAAAATCTGAAAGAACATGGAAACGGAAACGTGTTTAAGCGCGCGAAACCTGTTTGCAACATCATTTTTGTCGGAGGCGCGGTCGACCTGAAAACGCGCATTTTTTTGGACGCACTTCCTAAAGGCACAGCGCGTTTTTGTGCATTTTTGACCACGTACATCAGTGTTTCGCGGGGTTGGGGTGAGGTGGGATGGGGCTAATAACGTTCCTTGGCATTTAGCATTTTGCTACGCTAGCACATGTGGTTACGCTACACGAACATGGGTCTCATGTTACGCTGATAGAAGATGTTGTTAACACGTTGCTACGCTAGCACATGTGGTTACGCTACACAAACATGGGTCTCATGTTGCGCTGATAGAAGATGTTGTTACGCTTGCCGCTTGCACATGTGGTTACGCTACGCGGGTGAGGTGGGGTGGGGTGGGGTGCTTGGCATTCAACATGTTGCTACGCTAGCACATGTGGTTACACTGCACAAACATGGGTCTGATGTTACGATGATAGAAGATGTTGCTCATTGAGATTATGTTGATTATATATGGTGAAGCCTGTCGACGCGCGTTTACAGGACGACCGACCGTTGTTGGCTATGCGACGCTTGGATTAACAAACCATTGTTAATTAATGGCCAACCTTCAGGTGATGATAACATGCTCATTTAAGTGATGCCCTGACAAAAAGTAGCAAGGAGTTTACATGAGTTTCCCAATCCGGGGTTGGCGCAGTATTCTGATCTTTTGTTGGATGAATGGTGGGCCCCCCGCTCTTTGCCTCAAGCTGTCACAAAGGCCAAGGTGTTGGGATCGTGTTTCTCAAGAACTTGCCACCACACGTCGTCTCTTTTCACCTGGCGGCAGAGTGAACAGGAGTCCGTCCTTTATGATCTTTGTGCTGGGAAAGTCACCGCGGTGCCCGCACAAATATGGTTTGGCTCCCCCTGATGACGAGCAATGAAGGAAGTGACCTTCATAATGCGCCATGGTGCCACACATCGCGCTGTGGACGGGAGCTGCGCATGGAGAACAAGATCGAGGCCCTTCAATTTGGCAAAGCCAGCGCCCTTAGGAAGAACAACTCGCATGGGCTCGGTATCTCAGGCGAAATTTCGGCAACCGTAGCTTTGAAGTAGACTTTTGGAATGGTTTCTCGCCAGGGCAAAGTCCTGCGCGGCGTCGTACTTGCTGCAGATCATCATCCCCGAGTGATGGCTGATTGATTGATGGCGGGGAATTAACAAAAAATGGGCCTTACTGCAAGTTGACAATTCTGATATTATGGAGCTTGTCTTCATGGTGGCATGTCAACCAATCTTCTCGGACACCCTGGCAACACCTAGCACCTGATGACGGTAGCCGTCCTGATCATAAGGGGTCACGACAGCAATTGGGCTGGTCCACCGTAATAATGAATCAAACACAACTGGGGTGATCCTAGCGGGTGAACGCCCAAAGAGCCTTTCCGACCAAAACTAAGCTCTTGGATTGTCGCAGCCAATGCCTTTTGCAGGTCCTTATCTAGCATGACTGGTGATATCTGGTGATGCGACAACCAAGGGTTATGGATTGGAATGCACCACTGCTCGGGTGTAATTCAAGTTGTGAAAGGACAGCACTTCTAAATAGGCTAACCTGGCTAAGGGAATCCTCATCATTAACAGGGAAACGGAGAGAAGGCCGATGGTTCTGGATCACAACAATCATCAATATCGCTGGCGAAGGGATGCTAATTTCACTGTTTTTCCCAGACAACTTAACACATGTGTTGATATGAATATAAGCCAGCTCGATATACCTGGCTGAAGTGTAACAATTCACCTGTTTGAAATAAAACCGTTTGGGGATATAACTAACCATATTCAACCACCATGTACAGCGCATTCGTAGTGACGTCATAATAGTTGAAACCCATTTCACAGCCCAATGTTTGGTCCCAGAACTTCGAGGTAAACCTTCTTAGCATACATCTCCAGTTATGGCCAATGAATACTCTACTCATCCAAGGTTGGCCAAGCTGAACAACCCGATTTTCTGGGGATCAACATCTCCGGTAGGGATGGCGACAAATTAGCCATGTGGTGACGCAGGGTTGGCCCCACCAGCCAAGATGAAATCATACAGTCATACAGCATTACTTGGCACTATTGAATGCTGACCTCTCTCTCTCCCCCTCCTCCCTGCATTTACATGTGTGTAACTATATCTACAAATACGAATATGCATACGTATAGACTAGGAACGAAATATATAGTGCCAAAACATTAGACATAAACCTATGACATGGGCCGGTTCACTGCAACCTAACAATATTGTTTTTTTTTTGCCTTTTTCTGTTGGCCAGGCTTTGGTCGTTACAATTTGCAGAGATTTCACTGACTATCAGCATCTTAGCCGTTCTAAATCCATCTATTATATAATTCCAATTTCTGTTGACAAAATTGACAAATATCCGCATATTTCACCATCATTTACCTATCTTGCCTCATTCAAATCGTATTTTTTGTTGTTGATAATGGTATGTAAAGGCGGCAAGCACAAGGCTCCAATGTTTTATATTTTTCTTGGTAAATCATAGGGGTTGGTTTATTCTGATTGGCACATACTACATTGTGCTCCAGTAGCATTCAGTGGCGAGGCAATGCGGCGTAGCACACTTAAGAAGCCATAATGACCTACCGATTTTCGCGATAGAAATCAAATCGTCCTTAAAGATCTTAAAGGATTTTGGTAAATTCTACAGTATATTGTATCATATTGTATCCTTGTTGCTAGTTTCAACCCTGTGAACAATATTATATGATGAGTTGGGATCATCATCAGCATGTACATAAATCGGATTCAACATCAACAATGCTTGAGACCACCACCCGGCTGTTTGCTGGTCATTTGCCAACAGATCAACAGCATCCCACACAGAACTGTTGCAAAAGGGCTTTACCACCGGTCAACCACTTAATCAGCACAACTACATTTCACTAACCTAAACCATCTTTTTTTGGGATAATCCACCAGCAACTAATCAAAATGAATCCCCACAAGGGCCACCCAAGCAGCATACCTTGCAACACCTTCAGAGCCAAATCACAACTCCCCACGCATGCTTCCAGCCGGGAAGAGTCGGTTCACCACAATGGCAATGGTGGGCCATGTCACTTGCAACTGGGTTTCTTTCACACTTCATTTTGCTATACAAGGTGGTGCCTCATACTCAGCTAACTTGGGTGCCAGCTAGGTTAAATGGTGGTTATGATGATTGTAGCTATAGTTAATGTATAAACAGGGAGCGCCACCTTGTATGCACTGGTACATGCTGTAACTATGGATTGGTGTATTTAACTCTTGCCATTGATGACTGGCAGGGGCCCATCACTAATTCAATGCCCAGCACCAGGGTATCATCTCGAAAAGCCTTCTATCCTGCTGGTCTTTGAAACAAACCCATCATTTTACCAATCAAAGCTAGGTCACGCCCCCACTTATTGATGGTTCAATGAGTATAAGCAGATAGCCAGTGAAAGGACTGTCATCCATTCTCAATAGCCTGGTTGATGGCTAGTCAGGTTGTGGCTCTTGATTTGGAACTAACATTTTTCCAAATGGACGGTGCCCCATTTTTTAGGCCTCGGATGAAGTCCTGATGGCAGCCCCCATCCCCGGTCAACGAGTGGCGCAGGCAATGTTGCCCCATCCCAATTTCTCAAAGAAGGATTGGTAACATGAGGTGATGCTCGACAGGTTTCCTTGGTGGCAATGGAAAAATCTTGGCTCAGTGGCTTTGAAAAAGAATCTGGGACATATCTTAGGCACCTTGCCAAGGAGAGAAATGCTGGTAATGTACCCCCATCTATAGCAGCAGATGAACGTCCCAAAATACCAATCTAAGATTTTGCCAGATCCCGGCTCTGGGTACAACTCAGCTGCTTACTCTCCAACTTCAAGTGGGTCAAGTGACGGCGATTTTACTCACATCAACAACACATCTGCGGGCTGACCGACCTGTGGCCTCAATTCCCTGGAAAGCACCCCTGTCATTTCAACCATCTCCACCCCATGAATGAAGGAACATCTATAACACTAACACCAATGACTTGGGTTTGTCTGACAATTGGATTGTCACCCAATAGTTTAAAAACCTTATTGTCCCTCTTAGAATTGCAATTTGAAGGGTAATACGGTATTTCAATTCGAGTCCCACATCTGGCGAAATACCGCCATTTTTGCTTCGGTTGGCATCCCTTGGCATCTCCCATTTTCAGGTACCACACCAGCCCATGCCAAGGCACCGTTGTTTCCGGCCCAATAGCAGTCGAAACCAAAGTTGTTGAGCTCGTTCACAACACCTCTAATTATCATAATTCTTGGCGGAACTACGTAACTTCAAGGAAATTAACACATCTGAAATGGGAAATTAACGCATCAAACAAAGGGATTCAACTGGTTATCCTGAGTTATCCATAGTCATCCAGTGATAACCTCATGGATTCCCGATACCAAATCTAAGGCCATCAGTGGAGGATCCCAGTTCCTGGACGTATGATGAGCCGCTGAAGACCGTGTGGTTGGACCAGTCGGTGCTTTGGAGGTCGCGATGGGTTTCGAACATCAGATATCCTTGGGGCACTGGTGATGCTTACTGTGGGATATGTATCATGAGAATTATCCCTTGATGAATTATCAAGGCATATCACTTGAGCCATGTGACCACTTGAAGATCACATCAGATCCCAGGAGTCCACACATTTTGCAGGGGGACTCTGACCCATGCCCAATTTGTATCCGGTTGCTGCCCAATTCGTTTCAGGACCCACATCGAAGCTTTGAGCAGTAATGGAGATATCCTCTGAGAAACTACTGTATAATTAAGCTGAATATGAAAAACCAACCAGTCTCAAATTCAAATCAACGAATGATCACAAATTGAGTTTGATACAGGAAAGGGCCCACGGGTAATTGAAAGTAAATCCATTATAAACCCACCCAACTGCAAACATATCCACCAAAAACACCGTTAACCTATATATAATTATCAACTAACTGCCTGTGGGGATGTTTGGGGGCCCCTTCCTGCAATACCCGAGCTATTTCGTTGGATCCTTGAAGGCCCTTGCGCACCAAGCTTCGCACTGATCTCAAGGTATTCTGTGCCCCGCGAAGAACAGCCTCGACTTCCCCCCAGGTCAGACTACCCCCACCGGGGGATCGCAGACCTACGACCTGCCCTTTAAAGGGGAACATTTCAACCAGCGAAACGGCCTAGACTTGTGCGATCCATCTACAAAAGATCTAGAATTTTTCAGATCTCACCGCACGCCTAATTTTTTGCTGCTTCTGAATCAACCATGAAATTGTGCACAGATTGGTGCTTTCAATGCCCGGTAATCATCACCCCTTTCCAAATGGGTGAAACCACCCACCTCTGTGGATGCACCCCTGGAAACATATGATTAGCCTATAACCCCATTTCTGGCAAGACTTACCGGTTATTACCCCCCAACATCCTTTCAAAAACACGGCTTGGAATCGGAAGTCTACTTTCATATCTTTCATCTTGGAGGGCACCCATCCTGCACATTGAAATCACCATAAGTCACCCATCGCCAGGATGCCGGGTCTGAGCCGTCGGTACTCACGATGAGAACATCCACTTTGGAAAGGTGCAAGGTCTCGACGAGACCATCCACCTCAGGCACCGCCCCAATGGAGGAGTCACCAGTGGCACAGCCCAACAAAAACCAGGTAACTCTGCCTTAGAGTTGCAGAACCTTAGAGAATACAGAAAGTCAACTTATTCTGTGAAATTTCAGTTGACAGATTCTTCAGTTTATGGCTGGACATGAAACCACTACCAAGATATAAAGGCCTTTACTGAAACGGAACCAAATGATGAACCATTTGGTAAAATTGAACCAAAGCGGATATGAAAAAAAACATCCACCAAAACCACCGAAACTAACGTTAAACTGAGGCCAGCCGAATTGGCACCCGATGCATGGCTCTTCCAAGCTCTATTGAGCTCCATTTTAAGGAGGTTTCCCACAGTAAAATGGGGGTACCCCCAAGTCATCCATATTTAAATAATTTTAAATATCGGTTTTTTGGATTTTCCATTAATATCCATGACATAAACTATCCAGCTATTGGGCTACCTCCAGCCGAGTCACCGTGGCAGCCGGCACCCGAATTCTCGCCTCCGCTGCACCGTGCCCCACCGGGGCGTTGAGGAACTCCATCGTGGTGCCGGCACCGGCGACGTCCTGGAAATGCTGATGGCGACCCTCTGTGAATCAAAGGTGGCTGGAAAATCCTAGTTTGTTTGCTTTATTTTTATTTTTGGGTCTTAATTGGGCTTCAATGGGGTTTTAATGGAAAATGATCTGATCGAATGGGTGACTGTGCCATGTTTGCCGGAGAGTAACTCCACCAATTGGGATGATCCATAGCAGTACTCGGATATTGGAGCAGTTCCAACATCATGTTTATGTGTATATAATATATGCATATAACACATAAGGTAATATATATATAAACACATAAAATCTATAATCTTATCTTACCTTACCTGATCTTATCTATCATTATCTATCATTATATGTTTATTTATCTCTCTATCATATATCTATTATCTGTCTATTTGGTGATCAGTCCGGACCATGTTCCGGTCTCTGCAAAAATTGGTCGTCGGAGAATGCGCGGTTTATCAGACAAATTCATGCGATATGACACTTCATGTTTGGAGAATTCTTTCCAAATTTGGTTGCAACAATCATGAAATATTAAAACGCACGCTTTGCGACATCCTTTGGGATCCCCATCTAAAGGCTTGTCATGATATGGCTGAATTTTAGGCATATTTAGCCATCCAAGAATTGGGTTCAACAGGTCATGCCACCTCTGGTGGTTCATCGCTGTCCAGCTTTTTAAGGACCACAGCATGGTCGTTGCATGCGGTGTCCCCCTGCGTCAGTGTAACTTTCAAGGTGGTCCCGGATGGTCCCGGGAATGAGTTGGTTTAAAAACACTCTTTTATCAACCAACTTAGACAACAATCTGCGGGCACCTTGTATTACAGGAGTTAGTTGTTTGCCCCTAATCTTCCTTGGTGCCTGTGCAATCCGTATATTCTGCAGCCTTTCCCGCGAGGACCGTCCGTGATTGCTCGTTGTAGGATCTTCAACTTGCCAACACTCTCCGTGTCTTTGGGATCGTACTTGGCTCGATGACGTGTCTCCTGACCAGTGGGCAAACGCAGGGAAGTTCGCAGAAAACTTGCGAATGGAGGATAATGGGATAGTGTGACATGTTGAGCCTGGACTAATTACCTGGGATGTTTAATTGGGGAGTTACATGGAGGTACCATTTTGGGAGCCTACAATAATGTTGAGGGAATCTTCCAATTCATCAAGCAGGTTATTGCTGATCACTGGTGTAGGTTTTCATCAGCATCTCCGCCCAGCCTTCAGTACATGGACGGTGAAGGGCATGGCGTCGACGCAAAAGGCCATGGGGGTGGCAGAAGAATTGTACCTGACATCAGCGCCATTGTCCGCTTTTTTTTGGGTGCTTGAATCTCCGCCTCGGGTTCCTATCATAATACGCATATTACATATATATATATATTTATATATTTATATATAAATAATTATATATACCTGGAGCACCCAAACTTCAGAAAAAAACAGAAAACCTCGGTTTTCGATTGAAGGCCTCCGGTATTGATTTTCAAGCTATACTTGACCCGTACCTAACCCGTACCTAACCTGTACTTAACCCGTACTAACCCGTACCTAACCCGTGCCTAACCCCTATCCCGTATTTTCAGAATGGGTAAAAATACCTCGGGTTGTCGGAAAACCCCGGTTATTTTTGAGACCCTAGGATTTCTGCGGGTTTTGGTTCTCAAGGTATATAAGATTATGATTATGAAATATTATGATAATTGGCAATTGGTGATTGGTGATACATCTTGAACATATAATTACACCAACCAGCCACCCTGGCAAATGACACTATTTCCTCAATGGCCTCGGCGGCTTCCGGATGTGCGCTTCCAAACGGCAAGGCGATTTGTATTCTGGCAGCACGTCGGACCACTTCCTGGCGGGGAACTACGGAAAGGGAGGGAACAAGTGAGGTTCAAGCTTAGCAAGAGATACACCATATATCACCATATAATAAACACATGATTAAACTATTGTACTATAAGAAAACCCAGGGCGATGGGAATAATTAGTAGGGATGAAGCCAGTTTCAGGGAGTTAGAACACCATGGATTCAATCTTGCTGTGTCTTCGAAGGTGATTGGGAAAGGATGGCAGCTATATGAGGCCATGCATTTACGGGGGGAATCTGGGAATATGACAATAGTTCTGCATCAAGAAATATCAAACATGATTTTTTAACCGGGTTCACGCTACTTGGCAGGCGGATCATCACTTTTTTGCCGGTGTCGTTGCAGTGGGATGCTGTGAGGCTCAACTCCGATGACCATGGCATTTTGCCTTCAAGCGTCTTCAGGCCAGTCAGCTTTCCCGAATGTCAGCCCCGTGACACCCGGCAAACGAGTCGACCTTTCCATCCATCACACTTGGATTTTACTGATTTTGACCCTGATCGATTTTTCGGGGGGTTACCCTGAAAAACATAGATGATCACAAATCATTCTGATAAAACAACCTTCCGATTACCCCAGCAACATCTTAAAAACTCCAAACCATCTAAGTGTTTTGCTGGGTAGCATATTTCACGTAAATGAACAACTTACTTCGCATTCGTTCAGACCATTTCATACTCTCCAGCGGTTCTGTCGACGTGCCTCCGGTTCCAGAAGTGATTTTGATCAAAACGCTGAAGCCATGCGATGGAGTCCTGGCCGCTGTTGCAGCCGATGTTCACGATGACCTGCCGGACGTGTGGTGCCACGCAAGCTGTGATTTTTGGAGAGGTGGTCACGGGAAACAAATACCAAATGAATGATAATGAATGAACACACACACATCATAATATATATATATACATATGAACGTAAATATAAATGTATAAATGTGTAAATGTATAAATGTATAAATGTATAAATGTAAATATGTAAATATGTATATATGTATATATGTAAATATGTCCATATGTAAATGTATATAGGTATATGTATACATATAATTATATATATATATGTATATAGGTATAGAATATATACATATACTAGTATGGTTTGGAAATGAATTGGCATGGATCTATCAACATGCAATGAGGATGCATTAATCATACTAAGAAAGGAGGCACGCATGTGTCTGTTTATATCTATATATACATAACATACGCGTATATATAGATATATATATATAGATAGATAGGTGTGTAGAGAGGGTTAGCTTTATCTTAGATAGAGTCTGCGTAAATGCGCACCTATCTGCCTGTCCATTGTTTGTCAGCATGCCAGGTACCACTTGAGCATCCAGCTCATGATGGAATGTGCCATGGTTCTGTTTGAACACGGTGTCAAATCTGCGAAACATCTGCATGCTGGCTGATATGTTTCCAAAATCATCGGAACCTGCACCTCAGTTTGAGCGAATTTGAGACAGGTACCAGGTAGGGACCTATGTGTTGTTACGTTAACATTTCATATCCTCTCCTCTTGTCTCTTCACTCTTGGTCATGGGACCCCTTTCCTGGCGTTCGCGTTCACGCGTTCACTACCTCCAAAGAAGTCGTAAAGAATACACCATGTTTTGGAAGTTTTAGGAATGACAATAATGATAATGATAAATGGAGGTTTATGTTCACTATCATCATTATCATTCCTGATCGCCAATCGCTCTCGACTTGGCCTGATTACTGTTATCCGCATTACACCTCCATTACGCAAGATGGTGCCCACTTTTGAGTTGATTTAGTCGGACCCATCAGATATGATTAGTTCAATACGTCAACCATCAGTCGCTAGATATCTGCAGCACTTCTGCCACAGCAAATCTATTAATTCCAAAAACTACAAGTGAAACAATTCCATATGAACCGTTATAAATCCATATATTTTGTCACTAGCCTGAAAAAACATGCTGGGAATCATTCCCCATACCAACATTCCAGTGACGTCGTGACATGGTGTCGCTATTGCCAAGACTCTCAAACTTGATAGTCCCGTTTTATCCTATTGTATCGCCACTTTTGCAGCTCAATTTTCGATCATTGCTGCTTGCTATCCGCATAAAATTCACGATATTTCATTACGTCTATCATTAACTTGACGGTATGAAGCATGAAATGCCACATTTTGTTGATTATTCTTCCCATACGGGGGTTTCCATAGATGGGGGTACCCCAAAGTGGATGGTTTATAATGGAACATCCCAGCAAAAACTGGATGATGCGGGGATAGCCTCATTTTAGGAAACCTCCATACGCTGCCAATCTTAGATACCTGCAAAAAGTCAATTTCTTAGCTGGTTAGTAAATAATCTCGTTGATACCAAAAGACTAAAGGATTAAAGTACCCATCCAAGGTTAACCTAGTAATTGTAGATATAGTAATTATATACTTGGGGATGGTTCCACTTACTAACCATGATTATAGTGAGGTCGCAATGAGGTCGCTATAATTTACCCAGATATATCATTAGAAACTTCAGCTTCCATTCCTTCCCCAGCGCCTTGTGGGGATCGGGATCCGCTTGTACCAAATCTTCCAGCCAGGATGTGCCAGGGCAGCTGGTGCCCTGCTCACCAAGGACGTGCCAATAGGAGAGCTTGCAACCTCATGGGTCAAAGCTATTAATCCATATTAACCCATATTAGTCCATATTAATCCACATTAATCGATCATTCTTAATAGAGTAATCAAGCTTAAAGATGAACTTTGTTCATGAATGTATATACAAATGCATATGATCTATTAGAATCTATTGACATCATTCCCCTATCAGTATGAACCTAGAACCAAACGGGGTATGATCACTATTAATCAGCTCCCATCTCATTGTTACTGGATTGGTTGGAAATCTAGCCGGAAAATGGTGGCAAAACCCACGGTTTCCTGCAACATTTCCCTCAAAAAATTGGGAAGCCCAGTGGCAGTTCTGGCACAAGAACGTGAACTATACTGTAACAATTACCGCACTTTTGCTTCTTTTGGGGGTATTGAAAGCCATGAAAAGAAGGCCCAGTATTGGAGAGCACGGTATCTATTCAGATTAAGCTAAAAGCAACTGGCCAATATACAGTATCAGGTTGCAAGAAATCAACATTGGAGACCAGCTCACGAGAAGATATCATGATTCATGACCTCAGCTCGTTGCAAGTCAAAGCAACATTATTAGCATGGCATCATCTAATTGTTGGACAAGAACTTGGAAACCAACAAAGACCCTCCGGTTATTTACCGGAGCTATGGGAAATCGCCATTATGCTAGGTAAATCATCATCAATCATCTGTAAAATGCGAAATCAAGGGGTCACTTTCCATAGCTATGTGAAGCAACCCGAGGGTACCTTTAAAGGGTGCTTGATCCTGGATCCGATCGTTTGGGCTTCACTAAGCCGGCCAAGGATGGAATCCTTGAGGCCATCCCCTTCGGATCGATATCAGAAGAATTAGGTCAATATGATGTACCCATTGGTTATTTAACATAGCCATGGAAAATGGCCCATTTATAGATGGTTTACGTATAAAAAATGTGAAGGGTAAATATCACAAATATCTTCATGAATGTTGGTCACTACTCTTCCCAGGTCAAGATTGAGAACTCAGGATATGTCAATCATCAGCCAGGTGGACATAGAACGGGGACATCTGGCCCAAAGATGGGCAACCGTGCAAGAACAAATGCCTTTTACATGCATGCGTGCATATCTATCCATCTATAGATCATCCATCCGTCTATCAACCAATCTGTACATCAACCTATATATCGTATTTTAATGTAACACATGTACACACACACATATCTATCCGGCTGCCATACCTATATCTATCTATCATTTTATCTCTACATCCATTCAACTCCAGCCCCTGGATGTGATCCAGGGCACGTTCCCGTGGATATTTGCATCCCTTGATGCGCCGGTTCCGCGGATCGGCGCAACGTTTCTGGACACCCGGCAGTTGGACAAAGGCGCCTCAACCGTTGGAGCTTCAACTGCTGAAACCAGTGGTTGAAATGGTGGCTAAAACCATGTTAAAACCTTGAAACAACGGGGATTTAAGATGATTTAAGTTGATTTAGGCCCCTCAAACAGGATCATTTGAGATTAGTAGTGGTGAATAGTTTGACTGAATAGTGGTTCAATAGTGCTGTAAAATGGTGTATGGCGATTTATTCAAGACAAGAGTTGTTGCACCCATCACCATTTCATGTGAAAAGTCATCTTTCCGGATCATGAATTACCCTCCGGTAAACTCATATAGCTATGGAAAATTGGAAAATCAGGATTTTACCACGGAAATCATCTATAAATGGCCCATGTCCGTAGCTATGTTAGTTTCCTATATTTACTGGAGGGTATATCAGCTCTCTGAGCCGCGTCGACAGATGTTGGTCGTTGATTCCATCAACCAATTGTTGGTGAGAACCATTTGAGTCATTGTTCAATGCACCACTATTATTCAAGCCTCACGCTGCTTGATGATTCCAAAGATTTCCAAAGTGTTTTATCATTTTTCGGGGTGTTTAACTGCCCGAGATCTGTACCAAAGTAACCTTCAGATTTGCCACGAGTCATCAGGAGGTGACCAGGCGATCCCGGCAGAGCTAAGTCACCTTCCGCCACCATTGCGTTGATGGCTTTGCTGTCAATGACCGTCGCATTGAAAGGCTCCGGTGTGGTCTGAAGCGTGAACTTTGGCCAAAAAAGGGCCCGCTGAAGATGGCCGTTTTTGCATGGTGCAACCCTCAAAAAGATAGACATACAAAGAACCAATAAAATTGACATATATACTATTGGGAGTTGCTATACAGTGTCTCCGCTTGAGGTAGTTATAATGAAATTTGGAAATGAGCTATGTGAGAAGAAATGGTGAGGCTTATTGGAGACTGCTGCCGAGACTATGGCATGTTGGGACGTGAACTTACCAATCCTTGTTCTCTGAACCTACCGCCGAACCCACACCTCCTCTGGCTGCACCTTGGGCATCGGTTCCTGGAAAGGTGGCATGCAGGGCCGGGTTTTCGGGCATACATGGGCAACCAATGTTGGAATATATTGGAATATCCCAATACACAAAAGAACAACTTCCATTTGATGGGAACTTTTGAAAGTATTGATCCCAGTTTAGTAAGTTGGGATTTGGGATCACGACTTTCCAAAATCGAAATCGCACCAACAACTGTGAGCTTTCATTTGCAGTTGTGTTTCAAGGAAGCCTCGGTCGGAGCTTCCAGGGGCTTGGCTCGCGACATGGTGAAGCGAGCGTTTGGGTCGAAGCTCTCCTTGCTGGTCTGAGTGGCGCAAGTTTCAAACATTTTTTTCATTTGATGTCGAAGGATTCCCAGACTGGATCATGATAATCATCGATACTCATTGATAATCACGATAACCATTAATTGATATATAATCCTTGATAATACTGGATAATTTTCCATGAAACCCATTGGTATTTCTTGGCGGGACATCTAGCGCCACTCTGCTCCGCGCAGGAACTGCGCGTAGGCTTGTTTCTTCCGGGGAGGCACAGAGGGGCCTTCCACCTAACACCCTGGCAATATTAAATACTCACCCCCAAGTTAAAATAAACAAATCAGTCCTAAATAAATTAGGGGAACGGATTGCTTGGGGGGCCCTGCATGGCGCATGGCCCCGCAGTTTTGCATTCTGACCCATGCACACATATTCTGTTGGGCAATGGCACTCTCAGACCTGGTTTGCCTGAACAGGCCAATCTGTATACATTCTAAAAGGTTTTCATTGTGGATCTGTTAGCACCAGTAACCTGCCCAGCTTGCTAACACTTCAGCAAACAACATATTGGGAGGTCTAGGGTTGTGACTATTCGTAGGCGGCCTGCCGCCACCTTTCCACATGAAACAAACTGGCAAAAGAGCATGTAGGCGCTGTGCCATCTGGAGCGATATTTACAAAGTAGTTCTGTTTTATGTCCGTTAGATTCAAAGACCATAGCGAATTCATTGAAGGCATCCCCCCAAAAGTGCCAAAGCAGGTCTGAAGTGTGACCCTAAACGATTTTTCAGCTTCCGCGGCAGAAACTATCTGAAAAGGCTACAACTCCCGCCATCAGGGTTTATTCAAATCAAATTTCAGAGTACATCCCCAAGTCTTGTCGATTACGTTGATTACATATCTTCATCTAATGATGTTCTTTCCTTCTCCGACCGTCATCCCAATACCACCATGTGGGAACTATTGTTCCGCCTGGTGCGCTGATTTCTTACCCCAGGATGTGCACGTTGGGGTGTGTTTTCTTAACCAAAGTTGATGGTTTTTCACTTGGGTATGGGTGGATCCTCCAGTGAAATTAAGCACAAGCAGCCAACATAGCAGGAACCGACCCAAAAAGGCCAAGTGGCCAAGTTCACCAAACAAACCAACATCCATCAACAGATTTCGAAAAAAACGCATCTGAGTTGACCAGCCTTCACCCAACTGATGGATTTCCGCCGTCAGTTTTGACCCATCCCCAAATAAAAAAAGGGGGTCAGCTGATCCCGGCGAGATCTGCCAGGGATCCATAACCTGCCACCACACATCGCCTCGTTTCACCTTGGGAGTGACGTCGGGTGATGAGGTTCCTAGAATTTTCCCAATCCGTATGATGGGTATGACTCAAAATTGGGTAACCCCAAAACCCTATTCTTCACCATGATTTTCCCTATTTTTCGAATGGCCATAGATTGATGATAAATCTAAATATCATAAATTCCATCGTGAGGCAAACAAGCCTGCAATGTGAGTGTCTGAAAATGAGGACGCTCATAAAATTGCACTGCAGAAATGGGGAACACGTGGGACAATTGTGATTTGATCATCCTGCGGTTAGGAAAGTCAAGTAACTCCGGCTCCCCGTTGAATATCATTTGATAAGGAATATGGATACCCATATAGATAGCTAAAGGGTGATGCACCGCATTTGTAAACCCATCAGCCATGGTTGTGATATCTTGTGACATCTTGTAATCACCACAAACCCCATAGTTAACCCACTTTTCCCATCACCGCATTAAACACCCCGATTCTATGGTCCCAATAACATGTGGACATTCACTACATCCATTGTGGTTTCGTTTCGGGCTGCTTAATTGATAATCGGGGGATGGGATTATAGTTAATTGATGTTAATGATATATATATATATAATTCATTACACACACATAATTAATATAAGTGCAAAAACTGATAGTGGATACAACTATAGTTATATGGTTGGTGAACTATACTTATTAATTAAGGATGTTAATTAAGATTAACTATAGATTAACATCCATGGGTCCGTTAACGATTTATCTATAGCTATAGTTATAACTACAAAAAACATGAATTTCATGGAATTTAGTTATAATCTAGTTATATAAATAGTTTAACATTTTTTAATCGATAATTTTTAGTTCACCCATTTGTTCCATTAAACCTGGCCGAGGTGCACAGGCGATGTTCCCCCAGCCCACCTTCTCGAAGGACGTGTGATAGCACCAGGTGATGCTGGCGAGGTTGCCTTTTTTGGGCTGTCAAAAGGGCCCCCGTTAAACAAGGCCAATCTGAAAACAAGGTTGGGGAATCTATAGGGAAAATTGTTGGGGAATTCATCTTCTGGTTGAAGATACCCTGCAACAACTTTGAATTTTGATGAATTTTGAGCGTTTGGGCATCACCAACTGCCGATGTTGTGTTTCTTCGACTGGAGGATTCCCAAGTACGCCGCGACTAACTATCAGCGAGGTGCCGTTGCCGCCAGCCCAGTAGCAATCAAAGCCACGGGAGTTCAGATTGCTGACCACCGAATGGATGGTTTCTTTCGACCAGGCTGTTCCCTTGAGGTCCTCATGGTGAACGGTGCTGGTGGTCCGGGCAAACGTTGAAATTTGCTTCTGGTTGGTAGTTTGGTCAGCTAGATCCCTAGCTAATCATAGTGTTAAATACGCACATCATCTCAAATACTGAATAAACATTCCAGCGCTTTGACACCATGAATTTCCCGTGATATTGGGATATTGGCAACCAACAAGAGTTTATTGGGAGATTTCTCAAAATTGGCAGCAAAAAAAAGGGTTGTCCCAATTCTCCTCGCTTGATTTTTGTTTGGATCCATCCATCCAAAATCCTGAATCATAATGGCTCATATCACCTGGGTTTATCCATTGGATTATCAACATTTTCATGGCAATGCCATGAAAATAAGGGGGTATACCCCATTTTCCGACACACCCATGGTAAATTTTTCTGAATCCTCCGATGTACAGCTACAAAATTGATGCAATTGACACCGGCGTAATCACTGGTTGAAATGATTGAGCCCAGGAAGTGTTGGGTGTACTGTGATGGCTGTTGCCCCTGCCTGTCTTTGTGGAGCGTTGAAAGGGTTGCAGTGGTGGGGTCTTCTTACTCATAGACTTAGGCTTTGAGGGGTTGCCACTTATCATATCATTGATGATTTGTTCACCCCCTGCTAGTTTAACTTTTAGTCGCTTATTACCTTTTATAACCTGTGGCAAATCAAATTCCCAAAACATTAAAAAGGCCAACAACCGTATTTCACAAATAAATCATCTCTCTCTCTCTCAATAAATCATCTACAATGTACAACTTTGCAGTTTTCCGTATCTCCATAGCTGTCTTGAATTACTGGAGGGCTATCCGTCCAGTATCCTGAAGAAAAACGCGGTGGCTGGTGCGGATCCAACAGAATTTTGCCGAAGATCAGCCCTTTGTTGCGCCGCCGAATCCATCGACTTCTGACATTCACTTTGACATTCACATCCGGCATTTACCCTGTGGTAATTCAATATACTGTATAGCTATTGAAAATATTTGATTTATAGTTGATTCATGTTGATTTACCGATCAAATTTTCATAGCTATGGTAGTTTACCAAAGGGTACAAAACCAGCAACGAGAGCGAGTCAAGCATCTCGATGAGTTTCAAACATCAAATATCCTTAGTACAGCGGGCACATGCGGCGCAGGATGATGTGACCAGCTACTAGCGTGGAGGTATGCCCTGCTGAATGTCCACATACATATGCACAAAATGGATCTGAAAATAAGGTAGCTCAAATTTTGATGGGTTGTTATCACTATTGCTGTGATTTGGATCCATTTGGTGGTTGTAGTACCACATTTTCAGAGAAACCTAAATGCTGAAGATGGCATTTTTGTTCGGTGCTGTGTTTTGGGGACATTTCAGAAATGCCAGAAGGCTCCCCAAAGTTTCCTTTTGGGGGTTCCCGGCCCTCCCTCCCATCAAAGGCCGCGGAGGCCACCAAAATTGCTGATTTTTTGGTGGTTTCTTTTTTTTTCGACGTTTTTTTTTCGACGGTTTTTTCGATTCCCAAACGTATTTTCTTTTTTTTTCGACTGCGCAATCGACTGGCACAATCGCGGTCACTGGCGTTCCGAGTTGTGATGGAGGCAGTATCAGCGCGCATCTCGGTTGCCCGGTGACGGTAGCGTTTCTAACGGAAGCCTAAGATTCCAGTGTAAATCCAAAGTAAATTTGACTTGGAAATTTGTTTGGTGAGCCTGCTTTGCTGGTGATGTTTATTGGGATGATCCACATGATACAGAAATAAAGCTAGCCAAACAGATGAAGATTTTGAGGACAAGTCTGATGATAGCCAAAGTGATGATTTTTTGAAAAAAAGTTCTTGTGAGCCCCAGCCTGTGGCTCCCAAATTCTCATAATTGTAGACTACAATCCTGCGGCCTTAGGGTGGGTTTACTACATATTACGGGGCCTGAGGTTTTTTTTGTTTACTACAATCTGCTAAATCATCGAAAAAGTAGTCTACTACAAGTTGCCCAAATCTTCATTAAAAAAACCTTTGAAACTCAACATAAAATCTTGGGACAGTTTGTAGTGACTTTACATCCCAATATTCAACATCCAGCAAAATCAGCCATCTTTTCCGATGGCAACTTGTACAGTAGTGCTGGTTTGCTCATTCGTTCTTGGTCGAAGGAACCCTGCTCCTACAATTTTGTAGCCCCTAAAAAGTTGTCACAAAGAAAAACAGCAAAAGGTAGCGAATATTGTGACCATAATGCATCCTTCCTTCCAAGAATGTGCATGGACCAATCTCCACGCAATCTCACGGGTCAATCTCCCAAGCACATTTTTGAGGGGTGGAACACCTTTTGGTCTCAATCCCCTCCAGGCACCAACTCCAGTAGAAAAGAACAAACAACAACAGGCAACAAAAGAACCCGAAGAAAAAGAAAAGCACTTCAGGGACGAAAAAGCATCAAATTATGTACTTGCTCTAAGAAACATGCAGCAAGATAAAACAAATAAACCAGCAAACCCTCCCAAAACAAACCAACATGAAAAACAACCGCTACAAAGTGGATGGGTACGAGTCGAATCATTACAGAAAGCATTGCAGCAGAACCCATTCTGTGTCCAAACGTCGCGACAACAGCAGTTGATAAATGAACACGTCAGTAAGAAATACAGCAAGAGCCAGCCCAAGGCAGGAAAGTAAGTGATGAAAAATGCAGCAAAATGAAACCTGTATCATTTATGTACTTGCTCTAAGAAAAATGCAGCAAGACAAAACAGATAAACAGCGAACCCTCCCAAAACAAACCAACATGAAAGACAACTGCTACAAAGTGGATGGGCACGAGTCGAATCACTACAGAAAGCCTTGCAGCAGAATCCATTCTGTGCGCAAATTTGTGTTGGCAACAGCGGTTGATAAATGAACACGTCAGTAAACAAATACAGCAAGAGCCAGCCCAAGGCAGGAAAGTACTTGTTGAAAAAGACAGCAAAATGAAAGCTATATCAAGTTATGTACCTGCTCTAAGAACAATGCAGCAGGATAAAACGGCTGCAAACCCAAACCCTCCCAAAACAAACCAACATGAAGAAAACTGCTACAAAGTGCAGGTGGGTACAAGTCGAATCACTACAGAAAGCAGTGCAGCAGAATCCATTCTGTGTCCAAATTTGAGTTGACAACAGCGGTTGATAAATGAACATGTCAGTAAACAAGATACAGCAAGAGCCAGCCCAAAAGTGCAGGACCGTACTTGTTGAAAATGCAAAAAATGAAAGCTATATCAAATTATGTACTTGCTCTAAGAAAAATGCAGCAAGACAAAACAGATAAACAGCGAACCCTCCCAAAACAAACCAACATGAAAGACAACTGCTACAGAGTGGATGGGTACGAGTCGAATACTACAGAAAGCATTGCAGCAAAGACATCCATTCACGCACATTTGTGTTGACAACAAAGCGGTTGATAAATGACACACGTACAGTCAAGAAATGTTCCAAAAAAATGATTGTAGAAAAGAACAAACAACAACAGGCAACAAAAGAACCCGAAGAAAAAGAAAAGCACTTCAGGGACGAAAAAGCATCAAATTATGTACTTGCTCTAAGAAACATGCAGCAAGATAAAACAAATAAACCAGCAAACCCTCCCAAAACAAACCAACATGAAAAACAACCGCTACAAAGTGGATGGGTACGAGTCGAATCATTACAGAAAGCATTGCAGCAGAACCCATTCTGTGTCCAAACGTCGCGACAACAGCAGTTGATAAATGAACACGTCAGTAAGAAATACAGCAAGAGCCAGCCCAAGGCAGGAAAGTAAGTGATGAAAAATGCAAAAATGAAACCTGTATCATTTATGTACTTGCTCTAAGAAAAATGCAGCAAGACAAAACAGATAAACAGCGAACCCTCCCAAAACAAACCAACATGAAAGACAACTGCTACAAAGTGGATGGGCACGAGTCGAATCACTACAGAAAGCCTTGCAGCAGAATCCATTCTGTGCGCAAATTTGTGTTGGCAACAGCGGTTGATAAATGAACACGTCAGTAAACAAATACAGCAAGAGCCAGCCCAAGGCAGGAAAGTACTTGTTGAAAAAGGCAGCAAAATGAAAGCTATATCAAGTTATGTACCTGCTCTAAGAACAATGCAGCAGGATAAAACGGCTGCAAACCCAAACCCTCCCAAAACAAACCAACATGAAGAAAACTGCTACAAAGTGGACGGGTACTTGCAGCAGAATCCATTCTGTGCGCAAATTTGTGTTGACAACAGCGGTTGATAAATGAACATGTCAGTAAACAAATACAGCAAGAGCCAGCCCAAGGCAGGACCGTACTTGTTGAAAATGCAAAAAAATGAAAGCTATATCAAATTATGTACTTGCTCTAAGAAAAATGCAGCAAGACAAAACAGATAAACAGCGAACCCTCCCAAAACAAACCAACATGAAAGACAACTGCTACAGAGTGGATGGGTACGAGTCGAATACTACAGAAAGCATTGCAGCAGAATCCATTCTGTGCGCACATTTGTGTTGACAACAGCGGTTGATAAATGAACACGTCAGAGGCAGAAGGCAGGACCGTAATTGTTGAAAATGTAGCAAAATGAAAGCTGAATCGAATTATGTACTTGCTCTAAGAAAAATGCAGCAGGATAAAACGGCTGCAAACCCAAACCCTCCCAAAACAAACCAACATGAAGAAAACTGCTACAAAGTGGACGGGTACTTGCAGCAGAATCCATTCTGTGCGCAAATTTGTGTTGACAACAGTGGGGAAGGGCGGCGTGCCGGCGCCGGCCGGCTCCGCCGGTGGGGGTACTCCGGCGAGCCCTCGCGGGAAGGGCTCGGGGAGGGGGAAGCGCGGGGGCCGGGCAGAACCTGCATCGCTCGAGGGAGGCGACAGAGACAACGACGCAGTCCCCGTCGCTCTCCGACGTCACTTGCGTGCTGCGGGCACTCAAGATGACGGATGACGGCCGGCATGCGCGCACCCCACGGTGACGCGTGCGGGGGGCGCTCGAGCCAAGATCTTGCTTGAGCCTAAATGGCTAGGGTTGTTGCAATTTATCACCGTTCCGGTAAACCATAAAACCTACTGAGGATGCCCCAACTTAGGAAACCATCCATTCCGCGTTGAACGAGAGTATTCCCCAGTATGCTCCACAAGAACCCCTCCGAAACAAACTTGCAACACCTGTTAGTTAAAAACCGTGAAAAATTGGTTGGTGGGTCACTGTAGGTCCTAACTTGATCCGCGCCGCAAAACACCGAACGAAACTCCGCGCCCAGTTGCAGTGCCCAGCGGCACGGAGATGCGATGAGCCTTGGGCCTGGCCATGTTTTGGAATGGATCAATCACTGGGGATATTTCATGGGGATGGGCCATAGTCCGAGGGGGATTGTTGGGATTCAAATGGCAAGTCATTGGGATGATTGGTTTTGCTGGAAAAAACAAGGTTGATACCTGTATCACACCTGTGTTTTACACCACCCAAAAAAGGGTTTCTCGTCAACTTTCCCTTGACTGATTCTGGGATGCAAAGTGCAATGCTGCAGCCTATTACTATTGCCATTCCCCAAATACATAGACGCTGCCATGAGTTGGTAGATTTCCAAGGCAGCTAGGCAATCGAGTGCCTCGATCGCAGTGCCGGGTACCTTAGGAAAATAGATCTATATATAAAAGTGTAAGTTATTGAACGAATAAATACAATAACATGCATAGATAGATATCAGAATATATCTGCATATGTAAGCAAAGAGCTGTATATCTACACAAGTACAATCATGTATCTATGATTCTATATGCATATTTCCATGTGCGTTCATGGTTCATGAAGCACATCCTCAAATTCCGGCGCCTCACCCTGTAGGAATCCCAAGCTATCGATGAGGACTTCCAATCAATTAGCCATGATATTATTCAGACATATCCCCATAAGATATCACTTATCTGGTTGGTGGTTTCAACCCCTTCTGAAAGATATGAATGTCAGTTGGGATGATTATTCCCAATATATGGGAAACATGTTCCAAACCACCAACCAGTTATGATATCACCATTTGTAGATGATCTTGTATGAATTCTTCCCAGAAGAGATATCACCATTATCCACCATTATTCACCATGATCTTCCAATGATTTCCCACAGTTTTACCGGGAGTATAAACTAACATAGCTATGGAAAATCACCATTTTCTAGCAGGGTAAATCAACTATTTAACAATGGCCATTTTCCAGTTCGCAAACTGTCAGAAATTACCAGAGGTTAAGCCCAACCAATGGGTAATTAAATCACCATTATCATTCTATCACCATTTTTTACCATTATCTTCCAATGATTTCATCAGTTTACCCATGATCTATAGATATGTTCCAATGATTTACCAATGTTTTCTTCCAATGATTTCCCATTGGGAATCTCCTCCTCCCGACCTGTAGCTGGCTTTCAATCCCATGCGTGCGCTCTCTTGCCCCGCCGAAGCGTTAATGAACTCCGTGGTGTCGCCCGGCTTCGCCACGTCCTTTGAAGGCTGAGAGCCATGGCCGGGCCATGGGAAAACATGGCATGGAAACATCAAACAGAGCAACAAAAAAAAAACAAAAACTGTTTACCATCCCTTACCTGCAAAAAATATATATATATGGGTTTAATTTGAATTTGATTACTGTATGGTTTAACTCGTTCAGACAAGGGTCTTGAACAGCAAACATTTTGATTTAAGCGCTACGAATTGTGGTTTAACTCACAAAAAACGGTGGCTTACTCATTTCCAAACAAACCCATACAAAGGATGTGTCATCATGGTTTCAAAACAACCAGTAAGCCAGTAGTAGGGGAAATATTGGTTATAAATAGATTGCGCGCACTGGACATTAGCAGTCACACCATTGCTGCTTTTCTATTTATAAATGCAAATGCTTATCCAAGAAAATGGGACAGAAATAACAACCATGTAGATCTCAACCAAAATTCACCGATGAAACTTAGTGAGACGGTCCCTGGTCAAATTTTCTTGTGGGGAGAAATCAGAACTTCTAGTGACTGACCCCTGGCATCATTTGCAGTGGTTGAATGCCATGGTTTGGCGGGAGAAAAACCCACAGATTTTGCCGCAACGGGATGATTTTCGATGGTGAACCGTGAGCATCCATGGTGGTTAAGCCCATGTTTACCCCTCAAGCATCGTGACACAAGGCTTGGAAAACAAACTTCAGCCATTTAGCAACAGTTTTTTTGGTGGTTAAATGGATTTTTTTTTCGTTAAAAACCGCTACTTTAAGTTGTAAGTGGTTAAATTCGTATCTCGCCGGTAACAACCATGATTTTGGTATACATACATATTTTTTTCTGGTTCGACAAGCCGAAACATGCCTAAACCTAGGATTCGAGCCCTCAGTTTCTATTCACATTTTTCCTAAAGATCTAAGATTTTCACATGGAGCGAACATGCTTAATCAACCGTGGCTTGCCCATTTGTTGGTTTCCCCAGCATTTTTGTGGTTCGAATGCCCAGGCGCTGTCATGGCGCGCCACCAGAACTTCAGCCACCCAGCATTTGCCTCGGTGCTGCTCTTCACGCTGTAGCCCGCCAGCTTTCGCACTTCCTGATGGACACCCCAAAAAAGTTTTAACGACGACAAAAATGGAAGTTAACCACTAACTTCGGGTTCAGCTAGAAATTGGATTTCAACCTTCAGAAAATTGATTTCAGACAACAATGGTAATGGTGGTTGAATTGCTACAACTTATGATTTTTTACCACCAAACATAGGGAGTTTAACTGGGATTTAACCAACAGCACTGAAGGTTTAGATCATCGGAAAATCACAGCTATCAAGAATAGGGGCTTAACAATTAACTTTGATTTCAGCAAAACTACATGTATTTATTTAACCACTAGAAATTTAGTTTTGCAACTAAACATCGGGTTTTGCCACTAAACATCGGGTTTTACCACTAAACATTGGGGTTTAAAGGACAAAACTCTGGTGGCTTAGCAAGTCAAAATTAAGTTTAGCTACTGAAAGGTTGGTGCTCGCTAGATATAAGTTGGTATGTTATCCATTAAACGCTAGCTGCAATCACCATTTCAACTCTGGTTGTATTAGCTAGTTGGCACCAGAGTCGGCTAACTATGGGGCTTTTGGGATATAACTGATACCCTCTGGTAAACAAACATTAGCTATTGAAAATGGCCATTTATAGTGGATTTACCTATTGAAAATGGTGATTTTCCATAGTTATGTTAGTTGTTGATTTTCCATAGCTACAGTTATGTTAGTTTACCAACCAATGAGAATGGAGATTTAAACAACAAAATATGAGGGAGATGGCCCTCAATCTCTCAACCAAGTACTTGGAGGTCCCAAGAAGCGCACGTTGTTATTATAACCATATGAAAACAGCCCAGTGAAACCCGGGGAGTGCTAACCCCAGTCATATTGAAGGGTTATTTCTACCACTTGCTGGAGAAATATGTCAAAACGGGAACATTCACAGGGATTGCAGCCGCAACACTGATGAACATAGGGGCTTAAGCAGCAAAAATTGGGGCCAATCCCCGAACAGGTTGGAAATTCAGCGAAAAAAACTGGAGATAAAACCTGCAGCAATCGTAACAACCTAAGTTGGTACTGCTAAGTCTCGCTGTGGACCCAGGAAATCCTGTACCCATCTTCAACCCTAAACATCGGATCTGCAGTCTCCCCCAAAAATCGTTGACCCATTGCATGTGTTTCTGGTTACATGCGCATTCTTGTTCTGAGACAACACATTTATCCAAACATAAACAAAACCCATCCCGATGCTTTCCCCAGCTAATATCCCATTACCATCCATTATATATATACATGTGTGTGTTATATAAAAATAATTATATATATATATTAGGTAAACACCCCTACGCCCCACAATCTTTCCAATAAACATGAGGAAAACAAAAAATCACAGCACACTAAGCTACCCATCCAGGTGGTTGACCTGGAATCCAGGTCTCCCGGTCGCCGTTTCCCGTCCGCTGCCGTCCGCTGCCGTCCTTCAACAAATGCACTGTGGCAGGCATCGCTTCGACACACAGGGCCACTGGCGCTTTGGAGGAGTTGAACCTTGGCCGATGGCTTCAGGATGGCTCCGGCACAGACCGGACATCTTATGATATGGGGGTTTCTATAAATGGGGGTACCCCAAAATGGATGGTTTATAATGTTTTAGGACACCTCCATATGGATATAAGGATAAACAAAAGTCACCAAACATCTGGACATTGATCTGGAATTCAATTTGGACATATCACCAGAACAACATCTGGGGAAAACGCATCTATGTATCCATCTGGGGCTCGTTATCATGTCTTTTGAACCCCAAACAACACACAAAGTAAAGGCACATGCCCAATGACTTGCCAAACATTGGCAACTTTTGTTGACAATCATGCAAAACGGGAGGTTGTACCCATGGATTTGCCACATCTTGTAGGAACCCCCTATGTCCAAACGTCCGAAGTGGGATGCAGGAGCTCTGCCCTAAGAGTTGAACAGCCCAAAAGGTCAGCGTTCGCATGTTTTCTGCAGCTTCCAACAGTTTGATCTCCAGTTTCTCTCCCTGTTTCTTCGTGGCAACTTGATCCCGATTTCTAGACACACCCATGAAATTCATCCGTCAAAACCCGGCGTACCCCTGACATCGAAATCCGTGGGATTTTATGGATCTTCATCCTCCCCCCAAAATGGGGCAAAACCTATCATCAACATTCATCAACCATATGACCATCTTGATCTCTGCAAGTAAAACCCATCCCACATTGATACATATATATAATGTTTAATTATCAGTGCCAATCTTAGATACCAGGCCCCCCCAAAAAAACAATTTCTTCGCTGGTGAACGTAAATCATCCCATTGACACCAAAAGACTAAAGGATTAAAGTAGCCATCCAAGGTTAACCTAGTAATGATACATATATATATATAATATATATATAGGTTTACGGCTCTGGCTTGGCGGCTTGCCGGCTTGACCCGCCGAGCCGCGGGGGTGGCTTTCGGATCTGCGTATCCAGAGCGCAGACGGCCTTGTGGGCTGCCATCAGGCTGGTCCATTTCCTGCCAGAAGTCATCTGGGAAGATCAACTCCGGTCCATGGTCAAATCCATATTTTAAATCATCTGGGAATATGGTGTCAATGTTTCATTGGAAAATTGCTTAAACATGAATTTGTTGGAAACATGGGCAGTTGAAGCCATAGTTTTTAGCCACCACAACCATGGTCACGGTGGTATTCGGAAACTGGCGCGTGGTATTCGGAAACTGGAGGTGGTATATTCGGAAACTAGGATTCGGAAACTGGACAGTGGTATTCGGAAATTGGAAAGTGGCATTCGGAAACTGGACGGTGGTATTCGGAAACTGGACAGTGGTATTCGGAAACTGGACAGTGGTATTCGGAAATTAGACAGTGGTATTCGGAAACTGGGAGTGGTATTCGGAAACTTGGGGGTGGTATTCGGAAACTTGGGGGTGGTATTCGGAAACTGGGAGTGGTATTCGGAAACTTGGGAGTGGTATTCGGAATGCGGAAACTGGAATTGAAAACCCCCGGGGTGCGACCACAGAACGCTGGTTTGATTTTTTTTCCATCCGCGGAGCTCTTCAACGGTCATCCCACATCGTGAGCAAGGAAAGGATTATAGCAGCGAGCAGCTGCGCCAAGCCACGCGTGCAAAGCCCGAAACACAGATTGTGCAAGTCGGCCTCACGGGCCTCTTTACGAGTAAAATTGCCACATTCTATGGCTGCTGAGGTTTGCTCACTGAAGCTTCCCTCTGTGAGCTTCCGGCCAAATTATTCAATATATTGGCCAGAAGGGGTGGCAGTTCTGATCCCTCATTCAGTTCAAGTTCAGATCCGATTCAATATATTGGCCAGAGGGGGTGGCAGTTTTGATCCCTCATGAAGATAATTGCAAGTTAAGATCCGGTTCAATATATTGGCCAGAGGAGGTGGCAGTTTTGATCCCTCATGAAGATAAGTTCAAGTTAAGATTCTATTCAATATATTGGCCAGAGGGGGTGGCAGTTTTGAGCCCTCATGAAGATAATTTAAAGTTGAGATCTGATTCAATATATTTGATCCCTTATTAAAATAAGTTCAGGCTACTGTGCCCATGTAGGTATTGCTTCGAGGGGGTGGCAGTCTTGATCCCTCATGAAGATCAGTTGAAATTAAGATCCGCTTCAATATATTGGCCACGGGGTGGCAGTTTTGATCCCTCATGAAGATAAGTTCAAGTTAAGATCCGATTCAACATATTGGCCAGAAGGGGTGGCAGTTTTGATCACTCATGAAGATAAGTTCATGTTAAGATCCGGTTCAATATATTGGCCAAGAAGGGGTTGCAGCTTTGATCCCTCATGAAGATACTTGCAAGTTAAGATCCTATACAATGAATTGGCCAGAAAGGGTGGCAGTTTTGATCGCTCAACAAGAAAAGTTGTATTTAAATTCTTTTCAATACATTGGATTTGATCCCTCATGAAGATATGTTCAAGTTACGATCCGGTTCAATATATTGGCCAGAGGGGGTGGCAGTTTTGATCCCTCATGAAGATAAGATCAAGTTCAGATCCGATTCAATATATTGGCCAGAGGGGGTGGCAGTTTTGATCCCTCATGAAGATAAGTTCAAGTTAAGATCCGATTCAATAAATTGGCCAGAAGGGGTGGCAGTCTTGATCCCTCATGCAGATAAGTTCAAGTTAAGATCCGATTCAAAATATTGGCCAGAGGAGGTGGCAGTTTTGATCCCTCATGTAGATACTTGCAAGTTAAGATCCGGTTCAATAAATTGGCTAGAAGGGGTGGCAGTCTTGATCCCTCATGAACAGAAGTTTAAGCTAAAATTCTATTCAATATATTGGCCAGAGGGGGTGGCAGCTTTGATCCCGTTAATATCTTATTCAATATATTGGCCAGACTGGGTGGCAGTTTTGATCCCTCATGAAGATAATTTAGTTTTAAGATCCGATTCAATATATTGGCCAGAGCGGGTGGCAGTTTCGATCCCTCATGAAGATAAGTTCAAGTTAAGATCCGATTCAAAATATTGGCCAGAGGAGGTGGCAGTTTTGATCCATGAAAAAAAGTTCAAGTTAAGATTCTATTCAATATATTGGCCAGAGAGGGTGGCAGTTTTGATCCCTCATGAAGATAAGTTCAAGTTAAGATCCGATTCAATATATTGGCCAGAGGAGGTGGCAGTTTTGATCCTTCATGAAGATAAGTTCAAGATAAGATCTAACTCAATATATTGGCCAGAGGGGGTGGCAGTTTTGATCATGAAGAACAATTTGAAGTTTCTATGCCATCAATGTATTGCTTAGAGAGGGTGGCTGTTTGGATCCATCATTAAGATCAGTTGAATTAAATGAGCTTTCAATACATTGGCCGCAGGGAATGGATTGGATTCCTCGGCAAGATAGGTGGAAACTCATATGAGAAATTGTTTTCGGTCCTTAGAAGTGGGGGATTTCCTTTCTTACTACAATAATTGAAACGAAACCAAAGTTCTGGGCACAAGCGTCTCTGGCGGAGTTCCCGCCAGCGTCCAGCGGCATTTCGTCATGGCTGCAGCAGGTGTGCATCGGACCAACCCTAAACTGCATCTCTCTGAGCCATGGAATAATGTCGGAACCCATCAAAGATTCTGAATCCTCAGAAATAATTTCTGCATCCGACGAAATAGGCAGCACTGGACCAACCCTAAAATGCATCGCTCTGAGCCATGGAGCAGTTTCTGAATTCCCTAAAGTCTTTGAATTCGACGAGTAGTTTCTGATTCCGACGAAAATAGTATCTGAATCCGACAAAAACAGTTTCTGAATCCGACAAAAATAGTTTCTGAATCCCACGGGTAGTTTCTGAATCCGACGAAAATAGCTTCTGAATCCGACGAAAATAGTTTCTGAATCCGACAAAAAAAATTATGAATCCGACAAAAATAGTTTCTGAATCCCACGCATAATTTCTGAATCCGACGAAAATAGTTTCTGAATCCGAAGAAGCAGTTTCTGAATCCCACGAAGCAGTTTCTGAATCCGACGAAATAGTTTTCTGAATCCGACGAAATAGTTTTCTGAATCCGACGAAATAGTTTCATCCAACGAAATAGTTTCTGAATCCGACGAAGTGTTTCTGAATCCGACGAGTAGTTTCTGAATCCCTAGTTTCTGAATCCGGCGGAGTTTCTGAATGCGTCTTTGTTCCCAGGACCATGATTATAGTTTCCTGCGAAGTTTCCTTTGAAATAAGTCCATGATAAACCTTTCGCACACATTTCTGACAAAAGAGTGGTCAGTGACAAAAGAGTGGTCAGTATAAGGACCATTCCTCCATCAGCATCAAGAGATACACTGTTTCCACCAAATCAGAAATAAACCCACTTTGGGATTATTCCGCTTGCTGACCAGCATCTATAATGAGGCCCTTGTGAGCTTGCGAGTGACTAAGTATCGTGGCAACCCGCCACTGAGATGAAAAATCAATTGGGACGCACCAAATGGAAAAGGGAAATTCAGATCCATGCCTAGCGTCAATGGAGAATAACATTGGGTTGATTGCTAGGTCCTCAGACGCGGGATAATTCCACCCACAAAAAACAATTCAGCAGGTTCCACTCATAGTCAAGTCAGGTCATATCAATTGCGCAACAATGTCGCCATGGGAATCCGACCCTTCAGTTTCACCAATGGGATCAATTCCGCCTCGCGAGGGTCATCCCCCAATCAGTGTCGTCCCACAAACATGAAGCAGTTGCCAAGTGGGTGTGTATGAACATGGGTACCATCAAACTTCATCAAATTTCATCCATCCCTTTTTTCCCATGAAAAGGTGATACTCTCTGGTAATTTAACATGGCTAATGGAAAATTGCTCGCTTATAATGCATCTACCCACTAAAATGGTGATTGTCCATAGCTATGTCAGTTTACCAAAGGGTAATTTTGAGGATCTGGTCGCATTTTTCGGGTCCAACCGTGGAAAACCAGTCCTGAGGTTCCAAAAGCGACGTTGATCAAAGCGCTGGAGCCAGGCGATGGAGTCGTGGCCCTTGTTGCAGCCTACATTCATGATCACCTGCCATCAGGCACCATCAAATACCGCGCACAAAAGGATCATTTCTTCGCTGGTTTGATAGGTTTAACGTGGTAAATCCAGTACTAAGTTTCTTTCCCAACATCACAATTCATGTCTCATCATTTTTGTAGGTCGTATAAAGCATGAACCATCCCCAGTCATGGTAGGTCTATGGCCCTACGGCCCTTGGGTTGCCCAACTGGCCTTGTCAGGATCGGGATCCGCACGGACCATGGCGTTCACCCAGGCGTCTTGGGGACATTTGGTGCCCTCGCTACCGAGGATGTCCACGTGGGACAACTTGCAACCTGAGAAAAAAGGCTATGGAAGGTTCTCAACAAGGGGCATGCCGGCATGTCCATTTTCATAATTCCAAATTGTGGGTACTGTATGGCTTGTGGCAGTTTACTTTTATTAAACTATTATTAGACTTGGACATTTATAATAACCTAGTTCGTTAGCCAACTTGGGTTTATAACTAGCTTCTTTGTGGTGAAACAATACCAAGCAACAAAACTAGGGCACCACCCAGCAGCTGACGAAGTTGAGTTGGAGATACCATATGTGAGGTCGATGCACCCCAAAATATACAGAGAATATCTCCCCCAAATGGTACCTCTAACCGGTGTAGCCTCGCATCAGGCACCGGCAATGGACTAAACGTCTCTGGCCTTCTTGAAAAGAAAAGTAACCAAAGTTCACCGGGCAGAACTTCCAATCTCTGGGCATCATATGACCAAATTAGTGCGTAAGCGGAACAACATCAATCTGACAATTCGTTTGCTGGGGTCATTTTCCACGCCAGAATGAGAGGAAGTGGCAGTGTGGAAAGCAACATACATGCGCATCATCCGAGTCACATTGGCTTTTTAACTCCTGAGTTGCGTCAGACATCTAAACCCCCCAGCAGTTCTGATATGGTTCCTGCCAAATACAGGTGGGTTCCATCTTACCCACATTCTTGGGGGGGTTGTTTATCAGAGTTTATTGGGATGCAATTTGCCAGTATGGAGTGATATCCATTTTGTACAGGTCAAAGTTAAAGCCCACATATTCTTGTTTTTTGATAACACCCCCACCACTGATGGTTGCATCCCAATCTAGATCCATCATTCAGCTGGATGATAACTCACCAGCCTGAATTTCGGACAAATGTCCCTTAGGTGCTAATGATCCAAGAATTGACGCCGTGGTCAGGTTATTCCAATTCAGCCAGGAATCGCACTCAAACCAGACATGCACATCCATCTATCTATCTATCTATCCATCCATCCATCCATCCATCTCTCTATCTCTCTATCTCTCTATCAATCTATCTATCTAATCTAATCTACCTATCTACCTATCTACCTATCTGTCTATTCTATTCAATTCTATTCAGTTCTATTTCTATTTCTATTTCTATTCTATTCTATCTTATCTATTCTATTCTATTCTATCCTTTCTTATCTATCTATCTATCTACCTACCTATCTATCTATCTATCTATCTATCTATCTATTGCATGTATCTATCTATCTGTCTGTCTGTCTGTCTATCTATCTATTTATCTATCTATCTATCTCTATCTTTTGTATCTATCCTATCTTTTGTATCTATTCTATCTATTGTATCTATTCTATCTTTTGTATCTATCCTATCTTTTGTATCTATTCTATCTATTGTATCTATTCTATCTATTGTATCTATTCTATCTATTGTATCTATCTATCTATCCATCTATCTATCTATTGCATGTATCTATCTATCTATCTGTCTGTCTGTCTGTCTATCTATCTATCTATCTAATCCTATCTATCTAATCCTATCTATCTATCTATCTATCTATCTATCTATCTATTATTCTATTCTATTCTGTTCTATTCTGTTCTATTGTTTTCTATTCTATTCTATTCTACCTATTTTACCTCGTCTATCTATTCTATCATTTGTATCTATTGTATCTTTTGTATCTATTCAATGTCCTATTTTACCTCGTCTATCTATTCTATCATTTGTATCTATTGTATCTTTTGTATCTATTCAATGTATCTATTCTATGTATTTATTCTATGTATTTATTCTATGTATTTACTCTATGTATTTATTCTATGTATTTATTCTATGTATTTATTCTATGTATTTATTCTATGTATTTATTCTATGTATTTATTCTATGTATTTATTCTATCTATCTATCTATCTATCTATCTATCTATCTATCTATCTATCTATCTATCTATCTATCTATCTAATCCTATCTATCTAATCCTATCTATCTAATCCTATCTATCTAATCCTATCTATCTAATCCTATCTATCTAATCCTATCTATCTAATCCTATCTACCTAATCCTATCTATCTAATCCTATCTATCTAATCCTATCTATCTGATGCTATCTATCTAATCCTATCTATCTATCTATCTATCTCTATCTATCTATCTGTCTATCTATCTATCTATCTATCTATCTATCTAGGGAGAATCACCTCCCAAACACCATTTTTTAGGGTTCATGTTGAATTTACACCCTTTTCAAGGTAGATGGCTCCGCCCTCTTCCAAAGTGCGCGTATAGATGGCGCCGACTTTTTGAATTTTGACACCCGAAAAGGGCGTGACATCCATCCCCGTTATTTTTGTGGGCCGCGCCATCTATGCCAGAAAATGTTTCAGGGTTGCGCCATCTATGCAAGGATTCTTAAGTCCAAAGTTTCCAAGCCTCCATTTCCCTTCTCCTCTCCCTTTGCCCTTAACTTCCCCTTTCTCCTTCCTCCGTTCCCTTTCTCATTCCCTTCCCTTTTTCACCTTCAGCTTTCCTTTTCCCCCTTCCTTTTCTCAATTCCCTTTCCCTTTCTCCTTCATTGTTCTCCTTTCTTCCTTTCTCCTTGCCCTTTCTTTTTCTCCTGTTTCCTTTCTCCTTTTCCTCCTCCTTTTCCTTTCCCTTTACACATGGAACGCAGTGGTAACCTATAGATGGCGCAATCCACAGTTATGGTTTCCCCCGAAAAAAATAAATCCTGTTGCCTGTCCCTTTCCCTTTCTCCTTTCTCCTTTCCCTCCTCCTTTCAATGTCCCTTTCCCTTTTTCCTTTTCCCTTCTCATTTCCCTGTCCCCTTTCCCTTTCTCCTTTCCCCATTTCTCCTTTCCCCGTTCCCTTTCTCATTCCCTTCTCCCTTTTCCTTTCTCCTTTCCCTTTCACTTTCTTTTTCTCCTCCTTTCCCTTTCCCTTTACAAATGGAACGCGCTGGTAACCTATAGATGGCTCAACCCACAGCTATTTATGGTTTCCCAAAGAAAAATCCTGTTGCCTCCCTTTCGTTTTCTCCTTTCTCTCCTCCTTTCAATGTCCCTGTCCCTTTTTCCTTTTCCCTTGTCCTTTCCCTTTCCCCTTTCTCCTTTCTCCTTTCCCTTTCTCATTCCCTTCCCCCTTTTCCTTTCTCCTGTCCCTTTGTCCTTTTCCCTTTCTTTTTCTCCTTTTTCCTTTCTCTTTTCCCTCCTCCTTTCCCTTTACCTTTACAAATGGAACGGTTCGGTAACCTATAGATGGCGCAACCGACAGTCATGATTTCCCGAAGAAAAGCCCTGATCCCTGTCCGTTTCGTTTTCTCCTTTCTCCTTTCTCCTTTCCCTCCTCCTTTCACTGTCCCTTTCCCTTTCTCCTTTCCCTTTCCCCTTCCCTTTCCCCTTCCCTTTCTCCTCTCCCCTTTTCCTTTCTCATTCCCTGCCCCCTTTCACCTTCAGTGTTCCCTTTCCCCCTTCCTTTTCTCAATTCCCTTTCCTTTCTCCTTTCTCCTTCATTGTTCTCCTTTCTTCCTTTCTCCTTGCCCTTTCTTTTTCTCCTGTTTCCTTTCTCCTTTTCCTCCTCCTTTTCCTTTCCCTTTACACATGGAACGCAGTGGTAACCTATAGATGGCGCAATCCACAGTTATGGTTTCCCCCGAAAAAATAAATCCTGTTGCCTGTCCCTTTCCCTTTCTCCTTTCTCCTTTCCCTCCTCCTTTCAATGTCCCTTTCCCTTTTTCCTTTTCCCTTCTCATTTCCCTGTCCCCTTTCCCTTTCTCCTTTCCCCATTTCTCCTTTCCCCGTTCCCTTTCTCATTCCCTTCCCCCTTTTCCTTTCTCCTTTCCCTTTCACTCTCTTTTTCTCCTCCTTTCCCTTTCCCTTTACAAATGGAACGCGCTGGTAACCTATAGATGGCGCAACCCACAGCCATCTCTCCGTGTTTTGACTTGAGCCATCTCTCCATGACACAAGCGGATGGCACTGTCCCAGGGGGTTGCGCCATCTATTTAGTAGTGAAAAAAAACGAGAAAAACTATTGTTGAACACACATCCCCGTTATTTTTTCAACGCTTTGATGACCGAAATGTCCGGCCCCGGAAGAAGGGATTTAAATTAAAAATGGGGTAGATGGCGCAATTTGGCCCATTTTGCACATGTAGGGTTGCGCCATCTTCTGGGCACTTTTGCTGTTTCGGGTACATATCCTTTAAAAAAAATCACTGTTAAATAGATGGCGCAACCACCTCTGAAAAAGTAGGTCTGAGCCATGTACTTTGAACCCGGAGTAAGGGGTGTCAAGGTCGTTGTCACACCCTGAGGGGCCTTCCATTTGGGAAACCAGCAGCCAGGTGGATCCAAGTGACGTCGCCGTGGAAAATTACAAGTCTTGTCGCGTGGATCCTGGGTGTTGGGCTCATGGGTTGTGATAAGCACACTAGGAGTCACTAGGCATTTGTCCATGGAAAATTTGTAGGCCACTACAAAATCCAACACTCATCATTTCATTTGCCCCAAAGAATTCGATTTTGGGGCATACCACATTTTCGAACACACCCAAGTCATCCAAAGCTGGGATTCAACCAGCAAAATCAGGATTTGAAAATCAATACGACCTTTTTGGAAATAGGGGCCTCCAACTTCAATGGTGGAAACGTGCGAGCAAATCCTGCAACGAGGGTGGGACACATATCATAACTATTTGACATCACCAATCAGCTATTCGGGTGTCTGAGAACAAACGTATGCCCCAGAACTGCAATTTGAATCAGCACATGATGATAAATCATGGAATGTGTCTGCCGCCCAATTTCTTACAAACACATTTACTGCCACACACGAGATCCGTCATTCATTGTTCAAATCCCAGTTTCGGACTATCAAATCCCAATGTTTCATGTTTAACTCTCCAATTTTGTGATGGTTAAATCATAAATGATAATAAATCACATCTTTTTCATTCTTTTTCTGGATAAATTCGAATATATTCGGATATATTCGCACACAAACACACACATATATATATATATATATTATATTCTAATCATTCATCAATTTAAACATTTATATAAAAAGGCATTTATGGCATAATCTATCCAAATGGTTGAACATGCGTGATGCGTTGACTCACCCGAATGTCCCCGGCCTACATCAACTAGTTCGGCAAATTAAAACAAGTTAGTATTTTTGCTTCAACAGTGTTTGAAACGGCTACTTAGATCAAAAATGATCAGCATATGTAAACCCACAGTTTTCATGGTAAAACTAATTAAATCCAAATTCTAGATGACTTTTGCTGGTCAGATCCATTAAAACCACAACGTTGGGAGGACGAATCGTCGGCGAAACCTCTCGGAAACCCTCGTTGCAGGTGAAACAACGTAGCTTTCTTCAATCCAATTGATACGGACCTTCTCCATCAATTTCCCGCATCTATCTGCTCTAACCGCTCGTCCAATTCGATCTCAGATACTCGCTTTATGCTTCGAAAACGCATCGAATGGGAAATCCTGTGCCTGGGAACAAGATGCCACGTTCTGGTACACCTTTGTCAGAGCTCAGTATGTGTCGAATCCTTGGAATGCCTCGTGCCATGTCCTGCGGAGCCAGCCCCCCTCCCTTCGTCAAGTCGCTGCGCAGCGCCTCTGCAATGGCGGCAACTTGGGCGGCGCCGGCGGCAGCACGGCCGGAGCGGCCTCGACGGCCGTGGCGTTGCTGCCCTGGCGGAAGGCAAAGGATAAAAAGGTACCCGTGGCCCGGCGGGATTCAAAATACCACCAACTGTGAAAATTATTGGGTTGGCCACATTATTCCAATTGGCCTCCGGTGTCATCAAACATGTGTAAATTCCATTAGTTCCATGAAATTTACCAGGCTTTTAAACCTCCGTTTAGTGCGGTGGTTTTCCATTGCCGCGATCCCATTTAGTGTTAAATACTCATAGGCATGGTCGGGTAAACCTCCATGTGATATTAGGGTGAGGTGATGCTGCTGGCATTGCGGGATTCAGCTCGTCTTCCCATCATGGGCTCGGTTTCATGAACATATTGCAGGAACAAATTGGGACGGTTCTCAATAGTTAAAGCTGCCAGCTGTTTATGAGGTAGAGTCACCTCCCTAATTTTGACCACCAGGTAAAGGGATCCAACTGAAATCTAACGCATGAACCTGCAACTGGCAATTTCGGCATTATTCAGTGGGAATTGCCACTGGAAAACACGGCGGCCATCTTTGGTTCCATACAGTACCAGGATTTCAGGTCTCCATCTATGACCAGTTCCCCAGTCGATCATCCATAACCCTGGGAATCTTAGAAATGATTGGGTGCCTGGAGGGTCATCCTACAAATCGTGGTCGGCAAGTACGGTCATACTACCGTCATAAATAGGATAGACAATTTAGGACCAATAAAACAGGCTTATGACTTGCTAAATCGGGTGCTTGAGGCATCCCAGAAATATGCTCCTCATCTGCGATGATTCATTATTAAATCATCATTCACGTATCCCATATTCATTCCATATTAAGGCGGGAAAAAAACATATCTTTGAAACCCAGAAATGGCCTCCGTCTCCGAAGTCGATGCCGGCACGGTCGTCACCGTCGCCGTCTCGGCGCTTACGACCGCGACGTCGCTAAAAGCGGCGCCGACGGCGGCGCTGTCAATGAGGCTCCGTGGGTTGGCGGGCTCCTGGATCCACGGGACGTTGATCAGTTACCAGGTGATCTGTTTATTCAAGGAAAAGATTCAACCAACGAGTCCGGGTCTGGGTTAAAATCATTGAACCCCTAAAAAAAGGGTTTAATACAAAAAGCACCATATCAATATAGACCGGACCACTTGCCCTGGGATCATTCAACGAGGGTGCAACCAAACGTTCCAAATGGGATATTTGAAGCAACAAATATTGGAGATCCAACCAGCGAATATGTGGAGCCCACCCGGCGACCCGGGCCCAGAAAGTAGGTCAGGTACCAACATCCCTTTTTTTCTTGAATGGAACAAGACAAGTTTGTGAAACCAAACCTACCAAAGGTTCACGGAAAAGACGCACCTCTGCCCCGGACACGATTGACTCGCCAGAATGGTGGTGGAGGACAGTGGGAATCAGCAGCCAAAAGTGAAGATTCACAAGGAGCACCTGGGATCTCTTCGAGCTATCGAACAATCCAGGATCTTTGAAGACATTTTTCAGCAAGAATCATCTTCTTTGTTGGCTCCTGTATGTTCTTGTGTTCCAAAAAAACATTACCATAGTTCACCCAAATCATGGCCAACCTTACTATCTTACTTACATGTCATATCCGTACAATCGGTGAGTTAAACCATGTTCCAAGCGGCTACACCCACCAGACATCGCCAGAAAGTCTTGCAGGTCACCAGCATGGCCCATGGCTGAAGCCCGGACGGGACACGTGTGGTGTCTGCGGCAAGATCAGGACATTTCGGATGTGGGCTATTTATGAAGAGTTGGAATGACATAATATCATTAGGATATCATTGGGATATCATTGTGGATGGATTTGGGGCTATGACGGTTATGACTTTCCAGCATGGACTGTTCTTTTCGCTTCATTTCGCAAAAGGGATCCCGCACCATCGTCTGCACCATCTCAAGAGAGGCATCCGCAGCTACAGTATGGATCTACAGCCTGCGTATTGCAAGCTTGAAAGGATCAACAGCGAGCGAAGCCATTGCTGGTTCCCCAATCTCTGGGCAGCTGGACGTCGAACAAAGTCAGGAAAGTCAGGGATTCAAGTCATGAGTATCAGCTACCAGGCCAAACTTTTGCTTTCTGCTATGTGCATATTAGTATGCGTTTCAATAGGCTTCGGGCATTACAGTAATTGCATTATCCTATTTCCACACCATTCACCAAATTTACGGCACCCCGGAATGAAGAACATGATTGGAACCACGGCTGCTTAGCTTCGTTTTTTCTTGGCCTCTTGGGTCCCAGAGTTGTCAGCTGCATCCATGGCAATGGAACATTCTGCTTAAGGCAAGGACCAATTCTATTTAAAGAATTTTAACGATGATTTACTTATCTATGTAAGTAAATGATTGAACATGTGGTTACGTTTGCGGGAGGATATAAGTGGAAACAAACAGGCACTTGTCTGAAGCGAATAAAGTGCCAAAAGTCTGAACGGAAACGACACGTATATAGAAAAATGATTGTGTGGTACTCCATGGTACCCCTCCATGCCAGTCGCTATGTCCCTAACAGAATGCTGGATACTGTGAGTACCAAGAACCATATTTTTCCCGAATGCGTAGCAAGGGTTCCCGTTTCACTCTGGGGGTCTGGGGGTTGAGGGTGTGTTCGCTCGACGTTGCTTCCGCGTCCGCAACCGTTCGCAACCGTTCGTGTGAGGACCGTATGGCCGTGCCTATGGGAAGTTCTGCAAGAGGGATCATTTTTGGAGGTTTCCAATGTGTCGTTGCTTCGTTTCGCGTGGCAGGCGTGGCACTTCGTGACATTCAGACGTGTTCTGGAACGTGTCGAAAGTCGTTTTGCGTGGCAGGCGCAATACTTTTGTCACGTTTTCAGAAGATGTGTTGCAGTTTTCGTGGCAGGCGCAGCACTTTGGACGTGTCCATCGTCATTTTTCGTGGCAGGCGCAGCACTTTAGACGTATCGCGTTGCGTGTTTTTTGTAAATCGCATTGGCAGGGCTGCGTCAAGTGGGGACAAGGTGCAAATTCCGTGGCAGGCGTGGCATTTTGTGACATGTGCTGAAAATTGACGGAAGCCTCGCACGAAACATCGATTTTGAGGTTGCAAATTTTCAGGTTCTAAGGAAAACTCGTAGGAACACGTCGATTTTGAAGCTGCAAAGTGTCAAAATTGGAGGAAGTCTCGTACGAAATGCTCGTTTTGGTGCTCTTTCCCGTGGCTTCGCCGTGTCTATGGGGGAAGCTGCAAAACCTGTCCTTTTGTTATGTTGCCAACTGTGAAAATCGCCGGAAGTCTCGCGCGAAATGCTGGTTTTGCTGTTCCTACGTGTCTTGTCTCGAGTCTCTGGTGTTCCTGTGGCTTCGCCGTGTCTATGGGGGAAGCTGCAAAACCTCTCCTTTTCGAATGTTTCCAAGCAGGGTGTCATGTCGTTTTGCGTGGCAGGCGTGGCTCTTTCTGACATTCCCACCTGTTTGATGATGTTCACAAAATTTCAAAATTGGAGGAAGTCTCGTACGAAATGCTGATTTTTCTGCATCCATGTGTCTCGTCTCGAGTCTCTGGTTTTCCTGTGGCGTCGCCGTGTCTATGGGAAAGCTCCGCACTCCACACTCTACACTTTACACTCCACACTCCACACTTTACATCACTTTACACTTTAGACTCCACACTCTACACTTTACACTCTACGCTTTACACTTTGCACTTTACACTCCTCACTCCTCACCTGAGACTTTACACTCCACACTCCACACTTTACACTACACTCTACACTTTCCACTCCTCACTCCTCACTCTACACTTTACACTCCACACTCCACACTCTACACTTTACACACCACACTCCACACTTTACACTACACACTCCTTACTTTACACTCTACACTTCACACTCCACACTTTCCACTCCACACTCCACACTCCACACTTTACACTCCACGCTCCACACTTTACACTCCTCACTCCACACTTTACAATCGTCACTTTACACTCTACACTCCACACTCTACACTTTACACTCTACACTCCACACTCCACACTCCACACTCTACACTTTACACTCTACAATCCACACTTTACATTGTACACTCCACACTCCACTCTACACACCACACAACTTTCCACTCCACATTTCGCACTCCACACTTTTTACGCTCCTCACTCCACACTTTACACTCCACACTCCACACTCTACACTCCACACTCCCCACTTTACACTCCACACTCCACACTCTACACTTTCCACTCCACACTCCGCACTCCACACTCCACACTTTACTGTGCACTCCACACTCTACACTACACACTCCTTACTTTACACTCCACACTCCGCACACCACACTTGACACTCCTCACTTTACACTCCACACTCCACACTCCACACTCTACACACCACACTCTACACTTTCCACTCCAGACGCCACACTCTACACTTTACGCTCCACGCTCCACACTTTACACTCCACACTTTACACTCCACACTTTACACTTTACACTCCACACTTTATACTCCACACTTTACACCCCACACTCTACACTCTACACTATACATTCTACACTCCACACTTTACACCCCACACTCTACACTTTACACTCTACACTATACGCTCTACACTCCACACGTTACACTTTACACTCCACGCTTTCCACTTTACTCTCCTCACTCCACACTTTACACTCCACACTTTACACTCCACACTCCACACTCTACACTTTACACTCCATACTCCACACTCTACACTTTACACTCCGCATTCTACACTTTACACACTCTACACTCCCCACTCCACACTTTACACTCCACACTCCTTACTTCACACTCCACACTCCACACTTTCCACTCCACACTGCAGACTGGTAACAAGGGAAACATGTACAAGACTGTTCAAATAAACTATTGCAGACAGGCATTGTGCGTGACTGCATAACCATGTGTTTTGACATCTGTACCATTAATATACGTGTGAGCATTCGGGTTCGTGGGCTTCATCTTGTTTGTACAATCTTTGAGGTCTGTCACACTTATTGAGGTCTGTTGGATATGTACAGTGAGTTGTAGCCATGCTGAATGTGGATCTTACCCTGTATAAAGCATTGTAAAATGTGAATCTCCAAACACACAGGGTTCTTATCAACATGAGTCATTCTGACAAATTCAGTCACTTTTGATCAGTTTTCTCAATATAATAGGCTATGGAGTTGGATGGAGTTGGTGTACTGGATAAGTCCTGTTGAAAAACTATGAAATACACCAGTTACAAGGGAATACAACCAGTTAACTAAATCCACGGCGCATCCAAGTTGTCTGTTGTTGATTTTGGTTGCATCGATTCGAGTCCCGATGGAAGAAACATCCGAAAACTGGTGATCTTCATCATTTTGTGGTGTTACTTAGTTACTTCCTTGAATCCTGTATGAAATCAAGTTATTTTTCAATATCCTGAGCTGGCATGTCTGTAATTCTGGCCACATTCCTCCCAGAAAATTGCAGGAACATTTTAAAAACATTGGATGTTAATTGTTAATTTCACCATGATAGCAAACCATAATTTATAACAAAAAAACAGGAATTTCATTCTTCTAGGATCGGATTTCACTTTTCCATGATTCTGGAGAGTAGCCATATGGAGGTTTCTTAAAATGGTGGTACCCCCAAAATCATCCAAGTTGGACCCTTTTAGTATTGAAACTTATGGTGACCAAATGGGATACCCCCAAGTCACCCCCTGAACAAGATCAATCCGTGCTTCCACACTGTGGCGGCGACCCAGGCGACCCCAGATCCTGGCCAAGAACGGCAGGGGCCTAGTGATGTAAACCACTTTAACTGGGATCAACACATCTATCACTGGGACTTATGAATAATGGATTGATTTTCAAATTGTTTCTTAATTGTAAAATTCACCGGGAATTTTGATTTGTAAAGCCATCCAACTGTAGATCTACCCATGATAAACCTTAGTTGGACATGATTAGCTCCACAAAATGCGTGGCTGAATGATTTCCGATGTAGGGAAGAAAGTGTTGAAACCCTGGAGGTTACTTCCATTGTTTCTTTGATATTGTTCGGGAGCTTCTGTTAGTTTTGAAAATTGTAGAGTGTAGATTGTGTAGATCAAGAATACTTCCGGAAGAGAACAACAACGACAACGACGACGACGGCGACAACAACAACAACAACGACGACGACGACGACGACAACAGCAACAACGACAGCAACAACGACAGCAACAACGACAGCAACAAAGACAACCACAAAGACAACCACAAAGACAACAACAACCACAACAACCACAACAACCACTACAACCACAACAACCACAACCACAACCACAACAACCACCACCACCACAACAACCACAACAACCACAACAACAACAACCACCACAACAACAACAACGACAACAATAACAAGGAGAACAGGAAGAACCAGAACAACAAGAACAACTAGAACAACAACGGTCAGGTACTAGTCATTGTTGAACAGAACGGTATGAATTGGGATGGTAGCTCGTAAACATAGAAAAAATGTGTTGTCAACAACCGGCACGACCAGCTCCTATGTCAACAACTGTGCCAATAGTCCAGTACATATTCTTCGGCTATGGATGAAAACCTATGAATACTTATGGAAATACGATATTTTGGGGATGAGCCCCCATAAATCCCAGCTATACTTGCTAACGAAGGACCAGGCTGTTGACCCTATATTTTTCTTTGGTTCAACCTGCAACCTTGGCATGTTGGTTTGTTGGGCATCGAATTTATATATAGCAACCCCCCTCAAAAAATGCCGAAAAGTTGAAGACCTGGAACATATGTGGACAAGTTCTCATCTATACCTGGTTTCACACTTTTCGGCATCCTTTTTTGGAGGCATGAAATGCCAGGTCTCAGCGCGGACATCCCTCAAAAAAAGGTCCTCCTCGAGGAATTCCTCCAGCCTCAGAGGGGCTGACAATCCCATATAGATGGACATAATGGCGGTTTAAATGAGAAAATCATCAACAGGTAACATTGTAACATAGCTATTTCATATGCTCCATGGTGCCGGTATATTTACCCACAAAACCGGGTCATTTTTGGAGCAAATATCTTCGTTAATAGTCCATATATGCCATACGTGGAGCACTGGGGTCCCTGGGGTCCCGACAAAAATGATGAAACAATGGTGAATTTCTATAGTAGCTTGAGAAATCTTGGTTGTGAGGCAATGGATTCTTTTTTTCGGGCAGTATTTTTGCCAACAAGGGCAGCCTATGAGTATATTGCAAAAACCAAATGTATGAAACTAGCCATCCCCGGGTATACCAAATGGTTCACGTATGTTCTTGATCAAGCCACTGGTGATTCAGTTTTGATTGGTTTGGTTGGGAAAATCTGGACCGGAAACCATCGATGTTCCATGATTTTCCCATTAAAATCATGGGGCTTTCGAGTTTCAATTGTCCCAACAAAACCAATCCATTGAGCTGCACAACTTGGATGTGCCATGCCACACAGGATTTCAACACTCGAGTAGCTGTGCTTGGGTAATGTCATCACGGGTGTTTAAGTTATAAGCTATAATAGTTAAAGTATATTTATATAGCAAAGTAATACTGGATATCAAACATACCATCTCTTCAGCGTATCGTTGCTATAAATATTCATGTTTTTCATGTTATAACTGACTGTTACTGACTGTTATATCTCCTGGATCAGTATATCATCACTGGTGGCTTGCCATTCGGGATTACTCGGGAGCACCCAAATAGGAATATATAATATATAGTAATGGTGTCACCATTGGTTATTGCATGATTCCCCCATGATACCACCCTTGTAGATGGTTTTCTTATGTTTGCTGCTTCTTGGCAGGTCATCAAACCCTGTAATCAAACATGACAACCGAGATCAACCCATGTCCAGGCCCACGTGCGTCAAGCTCCTCGGCAAGCGTGGCTGTTCGCCTCCAAACTGCGCAGGCTTGTTTTACGAGCGCATCGTTTGACAAGCGCAAGCGCTGGATCTGCACAGTTGTACAATGTTCGTCAAAATTTCCCGATGTGTTCCAGATGTGCCATGTGTTCCAGCCATTTGGATCCATTCAGCCCTAAGGGTAACTAAGTTCTTCCAATGTCTCCATTCGATCCTTCTCAGCCCTCACTTGATTGGTGGTTTCAGGGTCCTACTCTACCAGCCCAAAGCTACAACAGAATATCCTTTTGATCTCTTTGATGTTTTGCCACTAGCCCTTCGGAAGAAAATTTGGGCTGCTTTGGCCTTTTGCAACCTGGAAGGGAGGTGTGAGATTTTCACTGGAGACATTATTTCTCAATGGTCATGCACTACTTTTTTCCTGCCATCAAAATGTTTTGATCCACTAGCCATGGGTGCCAGTGAGAATAGCCCGAACGAATCCAGGTCAACCATGCCTTCCATGGCACCTCCCAACTTTCAGAAACCGAGACTTCGACGGGATCCTACACTCAATGTGCAATCATTTTTCCATAATGCATCATAATGCTACAATCGTGGGGCTGGGAACCTCTGGCTTTTCAGCACCTTGGATGTTGACTTGAAAAAGTACGGGATCATGGTACCGCCAAATGTGCTTGAAGATTTGGTATTGTCAGGTCCGGGCGTCACTACAAGGACAGCTTTTGCCTAACGTCAAAAACCCAACGATACACCTGGTTTTTGGTTTTGAAAATTGTAACATCATGTAACATCGGTCAATTTACCGAGTTACCTCAGTTGCTGGGCTGAGATATTGCTCAATTATGTTTGATCCTTCTTTAGACTCCGCTTGAGAGGGCTGCGGTAAACCAAGCAGAGAAGTAGAGAGTGAAGTGATGCGTGCTGATACTGACCCCAGGCCACAAACATCCCTATGCCTCGGGCCCAGCAAGAGGCCACCCTAACATGGGACATCCATGGCTTTAACAATTAAGGCAAGGTGTCAAAATGCACAAGGCCGGGAAAATGAACAACCAATCAATCCGAAAAATGAGAAGTGTACACTTGCTTTATACCTGAGCACCTCCGCATTGGTAAACATCATCGCTCGGATCGGTTCGTAAGCTGGAATATGATCGTGGTGAACCCAAGTGCCATTGGAGGAACAACTGATGGTTAATTCCCACTTCAGATAATGTTCGCAAGCTTTCTTTTGGGTTTACCACATCAACTAATATCATCATATAAACATATCCAATCTAGTTTCAATATTACCTAGTTGATGCTTGTTTTATCCAGTAAAACTTACCTGTATAGGTGGGTTATTGGCCCTAAAACATGATCAGCCTGGCTGATTATTTTCTTAATTGGTTTTAACTTTTAACATTTTAACCCATGTTTAGCTTTACAACCATTACAAGATCCATTCTTAATTCCCGATATATATTTTTTGCTGGTTAAACCTCTCAATTTGGATGGCTAAATTATTAAGATTCATATGCTGCCATCCACTTGGATGGTAAATCTTCTTTTATATCCCATTCATGATGGTTAATTCATGGTCATATCCCTTATTTTACACAACTCGGCTGCGATGTTTATCTCACAGCAGCTGCGGGTCCAAGAGCAATGACGCATAGGCCACGTCCGGCGAGGCGTGGTTGGCCATCGCCTTTCTCTCCGTGGCTTCGCCCGCCTTGGGGGAAATTCATTGGGAGTTTGCAAACTGGAAAATCACCATCTTTAATGGGTAAATCAACGAACTATATGGGCAATTTTCAATAGCAAACTGTTAGTTTACCATAGTTTACCAGAGGGCAAGGGAAAAATCTATGGAAAATCTACAAGAATTTCAGCCATAAGTCTCATGATCCAATCCTGGGACTGGAATTGGACAGTGGACGTGGTGCTTTATGAGATCTTGTGTCGTATTTTATGGATTTCATGTCTTCATGGTAGTGACATGGGTTTCTGGGCAAGTTCTGGCCATTTATGGTTTCCCATCCAAATTTCCAAGTTTATATGAATCAAAATTCCATGGCTGGCATTTTGCAAGGACAAATCTCTTTTAAATTCCATTAAACCTCCATTAATTATTACTCACCCTCTCAAAATCCATTAAAGTTCAAAGGTTATATCAAATTATATCGTAAGTTATCCATGAAACCTCCGTTTTACCATCCCAATTTTCCGAATTTATAGTCCTTTGATGCGTTTGGTGGACAGATTGCCACCCAAGCGCCGTGTATACTTACAAAACTTACTCCATGTCCTGTAATTGTCCAATTCTTAAACCACATTTCTGTTACAGATTCTGAATTCCAAGCATTTTCTACCCCTTTTCCCTATTTTTTCCTGTTTTCCTCGCCCAGGCGCCATAGACACGCACGCCAGCACCTTGCAGTGCTCCGGTGGTGCCTCCTGCGGCACGCCCAACTGCGCCAAGGTGTGGAGAAGTGGCGTGACGTCGCCAGCAATGCCCACCTGGAGCCATGGCGACAAGAATGTTTGGTGATAAAGTGGTTAAACCATGAAAAAGATGAGAGCTTTACTTTCAATCAATGTGGTTATAGGATGTTATAGGTGAACGCTCAAAAATAGGAGTGTTGAATTGAAGTATGAAAGATAGGGGATTTTTCGCCAAACCATCAAACCTAGGATTCAAAAATCAAATAAATGTCATCAAACATATGGGTTGTAAAGATCAAACATAAGGATATGGACTTTGAACATTTCAGTGTGGAGCTTCTCTGATTATCGGTGACCATGGCCATAGATCGCTTTGTCATCCCCATCATCTCAATCTTTGCTGCAGAAGACCATGGAGAAAGAAAAGAACGACATTCCAAATTCGGAATCATCAAAATTCATCAAAATACATCACAAGTTGGTGGATTTAACTTTAAATCAATCTCAAAAATACTATATACCTCAACCAGTCATCCCGAGTCTGGTTGAAAATACATGAAACTCCCAAGCAGATCCATAGCAGCTAGCATGCGTATATCCACGTATATCCACGTATATCTCAGTCGAAAGGGACCGACCATCAACCTACCCCGGCAATCCCGGGGATTCACCCCGTGAAATCCGAAGAACCTACCCCGCACATCCACCCTGAAACCAGAAGTTCCATTCAACATCATGAAATTCCTCCATTTTCCGAAGGGTTTTTAATGGTTTTTTATGGGTTTTTTCAGCCACTTCTCCAGCCCTTTGAAGCCATGAACATCCCTGCATCAAGGCTCCATCGCCATCAGTAGAATGGCTCCATCTGGTATGGTGCTGGCCCACAGCTGCAGAGGCTCCAAGCCCTCCGGTGACAAGTCGTGGATCTGGAAGTGTCGGGCGGCTACCTGACCTGGTTGAAGGGGCGAGATCACATGGCTGGCGTTTGATCAACCAAAATGGTGCTTTCAGATGGTATACTGGGGACGTGAACCCTCTGGTGTCCTCAAAAATGGGTGGGAAATTCACCAAGTAAATGGCTATTTAAGTGGGTGCCAATGGGAAAACATCATCTATACGAGGTGTTTTCCATTGCCATGTTACATTGCTAGAGAGTACCGATGGAGAACCAAAAACTGTCAAAAGTCTTGCATGCTTTCGTGAAACACCATTGTTTTTTTCAGGGATTTGGGAATTGTGATTTGTACATATGGGCTATGGTAATTCATGTCGTTGAGGTGTAACACTATAAAACCATTCAAAGTTCATGCTTATTCCTGCTTGAAGCTTTTTTTAAAAGTTGACATTATCTTGATACTGCTGAAGGTTTCCTGATTGCAACAATGATTGTCCTGTCAAAAGTTAGCGCCGCGCTGAATCCATTATTTTGTCATATTTTCTCTGCTACTGTTCGTAAAGGTCTAGGTCCTACATCGAATTTCACGACCATTCCCCCCCAACAATCAACTGGATGTTTCTTTGGAATCTGAGCCCCAGTTTGAGTGCTCTGCAGCATGAAAAACTTTGAACTTTGACTGTTCATTCGCACCACGAAAGCCAATGGCTCCATCTATGACACCTCTCCACTCCTGGCAAAAGTCGCGGCCATTGGTGATGCCTGTTTTGCGAATATGGAGAAATTCATGGTAAGTCCCAATGTTCAAAAAAAAACATACACAATAATACGACGCAATAATACATGCATTTTCCCCCAGACCATACCCCATGGACAACCGCATTTTGCACAACTCAGGCGCCGTAATGCTTGATGTACAGCCCCTCCACGTCCAGACCTTCTTCGTCAAAGGTGCTATCTGAATCCTGAAGGGCCCAGGACGGATAGTAAGAATGACCCCCCAATACAACGATCTAAAATTCACTGTTTTGCTGGGTTATTTTGTGTTGATCAGCGTTAGATGCGTTAGTGAGATGCAAGGAAAACCGATCAACCGCGAAATTTAAACGGTAAACATGAGAAACGAAGCATCGCAACATATCGAAACCTGCCACAGAAAGAGCACGATTAAATGTCATCAATTGCGATGGGCATTTGAGCATGGAAACCATTTTTTTTGGACAAACCTATTGGTATTATGTTACATTGTACCTCCATTTGACCCATGAAATGGTTGGTTTAATCACCTTTGTTGTCAAACCAACTCCCCACTTTCGGATGATTAAATCCAGCAATTTCAATTGGGATGTTTGAATCATCATAATCATCTTGAATCCATCTTTTAATCCCCTCTGTTTTCTATAAATTGAGCCCAATGATTTCTGTTGGTATTCTCCCAACGCCCAACGGGCACCCGTTGGAAAATCCATCACCGAGCTGCGCGCAGCGAGACGGAGGCCACGCCCTCGGGCGAAATGCCGCAGGAGGCCGTGACCTTTTGCAGCTTGGAAGGCTTGGCATCTGCCGGACCTTTGGGCCTCGGTTTCCAGCCATGGATGCCATGGGCATGGGGGCCCTGGAGACATTTCCGTGGCAGGATTTTTGCAAAAACAAGGATGAAAACCAGGCGTTTGATCATGTGCCAATATTTTCGTAATCTTGGAACATTCCCAAAGTTAGGGTTGACGAAATGAGCAAAGAATGGGATTTACTGAAATAGAATGGGGAAACTCTCCCAAATCGTGGTTGGTCGTGGGTTTCCGGCTCATGGGTGACAATAATACCCAGTATATATATATATAATATAATATATATCTATCTGTATATATACATATGTATCATACATAATATAGCCTGGGATTCCATGGGCCATGTATGACCATGTTTACATTGTGACAATGTGTCGACTTGCCATATGTTTCACACGATGCCAGAATTCGCTCAGTACTGTCACAGGCCGCTATACCAGCAAACATGTGTCGACTATATGGCTAAGAATCATACCAGCACAAATCCTTGTATGTACTAGCAAACCCTGCTATAAGCTAGTTTGAAACGACTATTGCAAATATGGCCCATGGAATCCCAGGGTATATATGGGTATATAATATAATATAATATAATATAATATATATATACATAGATATACACAAATGTAAATGGTAGTGAGTTTGCTCAACTGTGGGGAAGTCATTGGGAGTCGGGAAGTTCTCTGGTTGAAGCCATCGTTTCTCCAAGATTTTTGTTTAGGTCTACTAGAAAAGTGCCATACCATGATTTACCCATACCTTGGGGGTTATGCTGAGCTGGGCAGTGGAATAACATGGAATAACCTCCTTTAACCGGGGACATCCAACACTCAATGGGTGAACCGATCATACTTAATGACTTAATGATTAACTTCCTCTCTGCGCACATCCAAGATCATCCAAGTGATCTCTCTGCGCACAAGGGTCAGAGTCGAGTCATGTCGAGTCCCCCTGTGGGCAAGCTATAGCAGCAGCAGCAGCAGCAGCAGCAGGACTAGCCAGACAATTAAAACAGGTACTATAGAACAATTTGCAAACCCTATTTAAAAAAACACTTGTGGGCATACGAACCATATGAACTTACACTATACTTCTTGCAAACTCATCAAGGTCCGACATATCCTGGAACTATATAACTCTCAAAAGATCTCAAAAAAATCAACGGACAGTTCTTAAACTACACTTAACCTTGCCAATCATCTTTCGATCTGGATCCGCCGGAAGATTTCGCTGCTAGGGTGTGCCCATCATAGAGCTGCTAATGATGATGGAATTGAACCAACTACGTACGGCACATCTATCTGCAAAACATTGAGGTTGCTTCTATACGGTGCATTTGGGCTAAGAACTCTTGGAGCAGTGACCAATCGTTGTCTTTGACCAACAAACCTGACATTTTGGCCGAGCTGGCTAAACACTGCTGAATCTACCCAGCGATCAATAGGCACGGGGGTGCCACCCCTGACGCAAGCGTATAGATGACACAATGCCAAGAATTAATAATTATACGTAATTAAACAAAATCGATCTTTCTGAAACCTTTCATCGGACTCGAGTGTGTTCGAAAAATATTCAAACCATCCAAGACTAGAAGTGAAGTTGTGAGGTCGGCCAGCGAGGCTCAACAAGAAATGTCGAAGAAATGCCTCAAATGGCAGGTTTGGCTTCAGGGCCGCAAATGAACTGGTCATGTACCATCAACCGACTGGTTTTGCTCGGAACATCTACGATGGTTTTAACCTCCGCATTGGGCGATTCCGGCAGAGTTTGTCAAAAAAAAGCATATCAGCAACTGCAATGATTTCTAGCAACAATCATCATATGCAAAATACCATCTGGTTATTTAACATAGCCATGGAAAATCACCATTTTTAATAGGTAAACCATCTATTTCTATGGGCCATCTATACCATGGCCATGTTAAATAACCAGAGGATATCTTCAGAAGCCAAACTTGTTTTAGCCCTTAAGCTTGACCCGTTTGACTTATAAAGTGCCAATGATTGCCCAATGCTGGCCCATCCCGACACCAGGGCCAGTTGCTGACTTGACTTAGGCAGTTTCCTCGGGTGATTCAGCAAAGTTCATTGAATTGGTTTAAAGATCTTCAACGCAAGAAACTTCAAATGGAGGTTTGTTATTTCATGGAGGTCACATTTTTATATCCAATAGATGGATTGTTTATGATGGTTTATGGTGGAAAATTCTGTTAAAAAGGATGATGACTGGGGCCCCAGATCTGATGAACTTGGCCCACCCAATGGGTTTAGCCAGTCTTGCGTAGTTGAAGAAAAAAAACGTGAAAACCCATGAAAACCAAGAGTTTTCCCAGCGCCCCCAAGCAAATATTCATGATATTCATGTTAATTTCGTTGGATGTCCCATTACATCCAACGATATTCCCATTATATCCCCATGATGTTCCCATGATCTTCCCTAATTAATCCCATGTGGTAGACTCAATAATAAATCAACATCATCCCCAATTGCTAGTTGTTTAATTCATGTTTTTGGGGATGATCCATTCCATCCCCGGTCTTTTTCGCAGCTGCATCCCTTCCAAGTGTCTCAACTTCCATCCACCAGGCCTGTCGTGACTGTCGCTTCCAGCAGGTACGTTTCAAGGCTGCGGGGCGCTCCAGCCGAGGCCGCAGCCTGCGCTACATATGATGGACGGTGAAGGATGAGAAGTGCATGGGCTATGGTATAACATGGTGTAACGAATAAAAACATTGGGGTTTCAACAATAAGGGATGATTATTTGGGATAATTATGGGATAATTATAAGTTTTCTTTAAGAGTCTATGTGGTGCCCTACTTATGTTCGGTGGTTTTACTTTCACCCAATACTTGTTGCATCACGACCCCAAGTAGCTGGTGCACCACCTTGCAGGGCTGTCCCAAGTCTGAAATCTCCCCCAAACTGCTTCTTGGATAACCTCGTTTGGGCCACCAAAATCCTCAAGCATCGAACCATAACCGTTCACCACATCTCAATTGGGATCATCCAGTCCCCTGCGGTGTCCATGGGTGACCCAGGCACGTGCGCACGGGTCCGGGCCGTAAACGCGAGGCAAAGGCTCCGTACCTGTGACAAACAGGCTGCGATGCTGGCGACTTTGCTTCACTGACTTGGGTTCAGCGAAATCAGTATGGTAAACTGGGTTCAACTATGGTTCAACCATGGTAAATGATGCTTCAACTATGGTAAATGATGGGAATAGAAGCAACAGTAAATGATAGGAATAGTAATCCATAGTAATCCCGAATATAACACTAACATGATCAACATGTTCATGAACCGCTGAAGTTGTAAACCTCAGAAGGGAATTCACCAAGAAAATATATGCAAATGACGGGAGAGTGAGGAACCCAGAAAGACCTGATCATAAATGACTAATTGTGCAGAATGATGGACGAAATATTGAAGTCATGGGGTATCACTTGGGCAATTCATTGTGGAAATACACCAACAATCTGATGTGAAACATTAAACACACGAGGTCTGATTATATACCCAAAGGAAACGCACTTGACCCCGAGATTGGGCTGAGAATTGGCTTGGTTTCAGGGAAAAAGGGTTGTGATCGTCAAATCAGTGGATTTCATGCAACGTTTCCATTCACCAAAATAATTTAAAATTTAGGTTAGCGGGTCCCTTTTTTCAGTAATAGAACACGTATACAAATGGGATCAACACAAAAAAAACGTCAACCTACTATCTAGGAAAAGTATTCCTGGTAATTGTAGGTAGGCCCGTGCAGAATGGCTTACATTTCCGAAACCGGTTATTAGTATGGGACCTTAAAAACTTGATTTGGAAACCGTTTTCCTACTCGATATTGCTATCATTGGAGCCAGCTGGCACCAAATCCAGTAATTAACCTACCTATGGGTGATGCACATCCACAGGTAGCAACCAGCAAATGATGGGCGCCATAGAAAAATAAATTAAGTCATGACTGCACAAACCTAAAGGTTTACCTTACCGATTGCTGTTGTTGCGACATTTGAGTATAAAAGCATATGCCCCAAATAATGAGCCCCATAAAGAACCCCAACAGTGAATACGTGCATAGGTCCAATACCATGCTACCAGGGGGTATTAAACCAATGAACACTTACAAGGTAGCGCCCCTGTTCGCTAACTTGGCTGATTTTTGTCGCTCACCTATAGGTCAAATATGGTAATGACATAGTGACATAGCTATAGTACCAAAGCAGCAAACATAAGTATGGGGACCACCCTTGTATACAGGGCTTATTAAGCCTCCATTAGTTGTGGCAACAGCGTTGGGCCTATTCTCTCAGGGCTTTCCTACGGCAGGACTTGAAGCCGCCAGCCTCAAACTAGGGAGCTCTGCTTCCAAGGACTCGTAAATATCAAACCACTCCTGGCGAAAGTGGGAAGGGCCTCGATCAGATTACTCATCTGGGCGAAATCATCGAAACATCTGGTTTCAGGAAGGGGCAATTGGTTTGGAACTAGGCTCAAGAAGCATTGCTGGTGGAGATATCTGCGGCTTAAACTAAGATAATACTTTTATGGCTAGGACACTTTAGCGTTTCAAAGTATAGTTATCTGGACAAATCAAAAACACAGAAAATACCATGAAACAAAGCAACGTGGGTATGAAAAACCCATGGGTTCCCCAAGAAATTATCTAAAAACTGTGGGTGCCCATATCTATGCAAATTTACTGAATATTTCTCCAACTGAATAATTGAATAGAATACAGTAGCAATTCTTAGGATGATCCCCCTACAAGAAAACATCATTTATGATGAGCTCGGAGGATGTTACCATTTGCCAATACCGCGTTTCGCCCAAACGCGGCAGATTTATGGATTTCATGGTGAGTTCACATACCGCCGTTTAGGGCATTTCCATGGCTATTTCCCATGGCAACTATTAGACTACAAGAGGGCAATCCCCGTTTCAAAGCCCACATGATATTCCCATTATGTTCCCATAATATTCCTATTGTAGTTGATTGATTATTCCGACCAAATGTAGTTGTTGATTCCCATTATAGTATCATTATTGTTGATTATTCTCATGACATTCCCAATCATTCCCATTGTTGTTGACTATACCCATCATAATCTCATTATTGTTGATTATTCTCATTAAATTCGAATTAGTTCATGACATTCGCATAACCGCACAACTATATCCCATTATGTTACCATGATATTCCCATTATTTCCCATTAATAGTTGGGTATTCTCATGATATTCCCATCGTTTCACTAGCCTTCACCAGTTGCTGCCATCTCCTGCAGCACTGAAGTCAGAAGTTGCATGGCGCCCTGCGCGCGGCGCGCCGGGATGGGCAAATGCTGCCGCACCGTCGGGTCGCGCCAGTCTTTTCGGTAGTACCTGGGGGGCCAAAAATGGAGCGCTGGATTGACCAGGCAACAAGTGAAGTTTTAATGGGATTTTTGGGGATTTATAGGGGATTTATAGGGATTTATAGGGGATATAATGGGATTTGCCATCTGGTCATTTAACATTTTACCATGGTTATTTCTGGTTTTATGAGCCATAATGGTCTATACATGGATTACCATCTGCTTATTTAACATTTTAATAGGTAAACCATCTATTTCTATGGGCCACCTATACCATGGCGAACTGTTAAATAACCAGGGGGTAATATGTATATATAAATATGATGTATATCATTTAGAGAGATATAAGAAAATATAAAAGTAATTGAAGTTAAATCAATGTATATATATATATACATGCACATAATATACATACATATAATTCAGTCAGCTTATTATATTAAGGCTTGGAGGCGGCAAATCGAGGCTGAACTGAAAAGATTTTTTTGCCACAAAACGCAACAACATACGACATACAAACTCAAACATCCAGCAGAAATGCGCATGATCATACTTTTGAAAACTGGGATTTTCCAGTAACAGGTTACAGGTTAGGTTATCAGAGAGTATGAACATATCGAAGTATGCAGGTCCCTGCAGAAGGTTGACAGGTTCATCCTTTTCGAACTTTTTGGATCCCGGAGCTGAGCAACATCAGCAACACATAGCAGCTGAAACAAAATCGGCGACAGCAAGTGTGTTTCAGTATTTGGGTTGATAGGCCGAAAATGGCCGAAATAAAGCAGAGTGACTGACAACCCCGGCATGTTCACCATTTATTTGTCCACCCTTTCCGCTACGAAACATGAAACTTAGGCGCAGGTCACCGTAGTATGCTCAGCAAATCTAGTTGGAATCGTTGGGCAAAGCATCAAGGGTTGATTCTAGAGACCTTGGACCATGAGGGATTTCCGTCCCTCATGCCTGACGGCAAAGAACCGTAGCGCCGTAGCGTTGGAATCAACTCATTTCATAGGGCCTGAAGCCACCTGATTTTTTTTGTGCATTTTCGAGCACTACTGAATGTCCAAAGCCAAGCTCGGAACCATGCTTTCCCACATTTTCCCACGGTGGGAAACTGCAACATCGTTATATGTTGTATAATGTTATACAGAGTCTTCGGATGGTTCCAGGTTATATACCTATTCCAAGGGGGTTGGGCCATTCGGGGAATTGAATTTGGGGTTTTGGTTCCACTTGGAGTATCGTCGCACGTGGTTAGTAAGCCTGCTTAAACCTGATGATAAGTCTACAGACTGGGAAAACAGTTCTAACTAACCACACGAATACTGACCAGTTACTCATCATCATTTGTTTCCTGCAGTTGATTTTTTTTGCTGTCTTTTCAAATAACATCATTTCCTATATTGATGTCTGCCAGCCCAGGTGCGATTTATATCCCAAAAGCAGCCCTCCCACCTCATTCCAACCACCACCAGGTGCTACGTGGGGAAGGTTTCATTCCAGGTTTTTGTTTTTTTAAGCGTGAAGATTACTCTCAATAAACCACTTGTTGATGATTAAATTACATCCCCATGTTTCATGGTGAAATATCAAGTTAAATCACACATTTTAAAGCTTAAATAGGTTAACTCATCATTTTCGATGCTTGAGTCAGACTTGAGCCAGAAAATTTGCACATTGTGTCGCACAGTTTCCAGGTAAATCCTGGTTTATCAATCCCCCCAACATCAAATACATTCCATGAAAATCAACAAATCCAATAATGAACTCGGGCTTCTAGGGTTGCTAGGCTGGCAGTTAATATTTCTCAAGGGGTTAATTATTATATCATTCATATTTCTTCCAATAAACATCCCATCTCGACATATCCAAGAAAATAACACCCCCCAAAAAAGTATTACCTTCTGGCAATTAACATAGACATAGCTATGGGCAATCACGGTTTTTCATAGGTAAATCATGTATAAATCATCCATTTTCGATAGCTACGTGCCGCCCAGCTGCTCGCCATCCTCCCCGAGCTCAAGTCGTGCCATGTCCCAGGAAGCATTGGGCCCCTCCGCCTGCAGCTGAAATTTCTCGGCATCGCGGAGGATCCAGAGCCAATATCCTTGGAGGTGCTGGGATTATGTCGGATTTAATTGCATGAAATAGATCAATCATGGTGATATATGTAACCTAAACTATAACAAAAAATATTGGGTGGGGGGTTCAACTAGTGAAAAGTGATTAACAATGGACTTCCTGGATGGGTTTAGTATGATGTATGGCTTCTCTGTATGTTTCACTACGTGATCATTGGAAATCAACGCTCAAAATAGAAGTGGGTAAAGTGACCGGATGGAGCAAATCCGCAAGTGGCGTAGAAATGAAACACATATGAAATGGGTTGATATGGGTTGAATGGCTGATATTGGATTATGATGAATTACAATGCCCCATATCCATTCATATCCTCAAAAAAAGGACATTGTAGAGTAGAACCTCGCCACATTGTCAGTGGATCAAAGTATATGTATATATATATAATTATAATATATATATATATATGTGGAACCTTAGTGATCATCAAAAGGGCCAAATATGGTATTATTGTTTTTGACCCATGCCCACTTGGTCTGTGAACATCCTTGGAGAATTTAGTCACTTTAGCCCGTGTTAGTCACAATCGGATACGTGGGTGAAAAAGGTTGAGGTGCTGTCTGGGGTTGCGCTAAATGTGGATGGGCGTTAACATGGGGATAAGAAGGAACGCATTAAGGTAACGGAGTCAATCAATACTGCGACAATAAAAGCATAGTGTCGTAAGAACCAATCAAAATCGCATTCAAGAAAAAATGCGGAGAAGAACTGACAAGAATGGCTTTGGAACCACAAAAAGAAGCCGCAGGGGCGGATCCACACAACAAACATGAGGCTCGTAACATGAGGACACGTGACGATATGCTATGCTATTATTCACTCAGAAAAGTTTGATCTGGGGAGTTTCACGCATGATATGTCTGGTTCACATGTAGCCTCCGAGAAAGGACGCTTCAGGTTCACGGCAGCTGGGATGCCCTTCAGGATGATCTTTTTCGTCCATTGGCAAGCCACCAAGAAAATGTTGAACCCGGAAACAAGCGAGTTACCATGTCCATTTCCATCCAACTTTTTGCATCTATTTAATTATTGTTATTTACTACTTAATTCGCGTCTCAAGCACTCGAACTGCGACAAGCTGCCGCACTGCAGCTGGATGAGCTGCTCCGCCCCAAGTCGCCAGTGAGCAAAATCATGGGCTGTGGAATTAATTGTCTGGTTTATAACTGGGCTATGTCATATCCCATTGTAGCTTGGTAATCGCTCAAGTATGAAACAAACGTGTAAAAACCAGTTGTTTCGCAGTTTAGCATTGCAAGAAAGGGGGTTTCCTATGCACTCTATCGACACCGTCTTGGATCTTTTTGGTCGATCGTACCCTGTCCAACTGACTAGAAACAGTAAAATTAATACTGAACTCTGAAATAACCACCTAATCACCCATTGAGCAAAAGGGCAACCCACTGCAGTGGCACCAGATGGCACCAGTTATGGGATGTCATGATAGTTATGTGCCAAGGATCCCATGAACTCTTCTGCGAAGAGCTTCACGTACTCTTCATCTCTACCTATCGGAAAGAAGAGAACCCAGTTGCAGCGGAACAAAGCTGAAATATCAAACACTGCCTGGTAGTGTCTGGTTTGCAGGACACAAATCTTTGAAACTTCCAAATCCTACAGCTAAATATTCACGACTCGTCGACATCATTAAAGTAGGAAGTCTCTCAGTTTTGCCAGGAAGAATCATTGAAACGTGGCAGATTTCCGCTCCTAGTTTTTGCAATTGTGTTCTCGTATTGGGCATGATGGGAAATGCGGCTTCCAAGACTTCACTTTGAAACATCAACGCAACAAAAGCCAAAGTGTGGATGAGTTAGTGCAACCATGTAGATGCATATAGTATCATATAGTGGAATCATCTTTCAGCTCTGAAACCTACCCACTGCCAATGGTGAATATTTTCGTGGTTGCGCTTTGATTTACCATAGCCCATGAACAGTTTACCCATGTGTAAATGATCTGCCTATTACTATTAAACATAACAATTTTCCATAGCAAACTGTTAGTTTACCAGAGGGTATTCCACTCAGCGAAAACATAGCTCGGCAACCTACACCTTCCCAGGACCCAAAAAATATTCAACGGATTCCTGGGGAAAATCACCTAAAAACGACAAAAAACATCCCAGCTTGGAATCTGCAGTTCCAATTGGTAGCGTTTTTTTTTCTGGCTATCGCTCTAGATGTTCTAGACTCAGCTCAAATTCCCCATCTGTGGCGCTTTTTCATATGCATGGTTCTGGATTGTAACAATTCACCAGCTTGAAATGTTGGATCACGTTGGGATGGCTCTTAAGACCAACCATCATTGAGGTCGCAGAGAGGTTGTCACCGTATTTACCCAGCGCATGGCTTTGTCTGAAAATAGGCTACCCGGCTCTTGGATCTTTACCCGAACCTGACGGTTAATAACCCTGTTGAGCATTGCTTTTTTTTATGTTGGGTCAATTTTTTCAGTATTGCTATTCCTATGTATGACTATATGTATACCATGATAATTGGTTTTTGCTTCCATGTGCCATCCATAGATCATTCACATTTAGCCCATTCTATGTCTTATTTAATCCCTTCTCGCTACTACTAAATCTCCCCTAAATAAAAAAAAACTACCCTAGATTATTTGTTTTGGGACATTTCAGATTGGTCAATGTGACTTTTTTGATCCCCTTTAGAATTCAGATTGGTCAATGTGACTTTTTTTGATCCCCGTTAGAAAACAATTCAAAAATCAAGGTCCATTTGAAGGTTCTACCCCCTTAATAATAACAACTAGTTATCCCCGTTTTTTTTTAAATCAGGGTCCGTCTGTTAAAATCGAAAATTTTAGTTTTTTAAACCAAGGTTCTAAATTTAATGTTAGGGGAAGGCTTCGAAATCCAATTTTTGGAAATATGTTAATCAGATTTTAAAAGGGACTTGAATTGATTTTGACATTGAAACTTTTTATTTATTTGATTAATGTTTTAATTTAACATTAGGAGCCAGCTTCTGCCCGAATATTAAATCCCACCTAATAATGAAAACTACCCCTAGGTTTATTATTTGGGAGGGGACGTTTAATATCGTTTAATATTAGGGTAAAGGGATTACATACTGAAACGGCTATTATTTGTGTTCTTTTTCCCATCTACAAGTCAAACCTGCAGGGATTCACCCTTTCGCCCGCCAAGTTGCTGCGGCTGGGCCAAAAGTCCTTCCAGCGCGGATCCAGCACTCGGTGCCAGGGCTTTGCCGTGGGTTTGCCGCTGTAGTGCACCTTGGGGAAGGGCCAAGGTGCGGCTAGGGCCGGGTGGCACCTGGCATCTATCCATCTTTTTTTGTGTGTGGCTCAAGGCCACAAAAAAACTGACTAGAAGCGAGGTGCTTCTGGCCGACAAAAGTCTCCTTATGCACTAGCCTGTTTGTTGTGCGTACACCCTGCGCGATTGAATTCCAGCAAACAATCGTTCAATTCAGACTCCATCCATCCAGCCAGGTCATGGCATTCGGAATGCCGCTCGACGGAGTACCTGTGCTCTCCTCACTCGAGATCGCTCCATCATCTTCTTCCTCAATATAACCCCTCCAGTCACCTGGCCATTGAAATCCGGCTAGGTAGCATGGACTTCTGCTCTGTCCTCCGGTGCAAACCAGAAAATCAGAACTTGGGGCGACACTCAGGCCCTCCCAAGGACAGGAGCACTAGCAACACCTGCACCGAGCAGCGCCGCATATGCTGCATCTCGGACCGCCAAATTCTGAGCTCACAAAGCAGCGACCATCGTAGTTGGATCGAAATAGTGGTCCGCATCAGCATGGCAAAGATAGGTCCGTGCAAGTGCGCGCAACGCCGCTCCCGTGGATCGAAACGGAGTAAATCGTGCAGCAGATATCACTCTATCTTTTGTTGGGAAGATATACAACTAATATAGCCATAGCTCCAAACCACCCCCTCCAAATCCCACCGGAGAGTAACATCAACTTGAATCAGCAAAGGTCTACTGAGTCTACTTGGCATTATCCTAAGGCTTGCTGGTTTAACGTTCCAACTCTCCATTTCAGACTTTGAGTACCCAGGACAAATCCCAATTCCACTTTGTTGATTCTAAAAATTGACGGTTTGAAAGCCTATAATGGTCCTTTTCTCCACTATTGTCCTAGTTGTGTTGGGTTGAACACCTTCAATTTAAAATAGCCGAACAATTGCAACACCATTGTGGTTGGTTTTAAGCCACTTTGTTTCCTAGCCGCCGGCTTTTTGTGGCTTCATACCCCATATCTCCCCTTCTCATCAACATGTGGATTTAACAAACCCTGGAACAATCCAATTGCTAAGCAAAATGGTAGGTACAACAGAAACAATTTTACAGGGATAATATGGAATATAATAGGACCAACCCCAACAACAGGTTCAATAAAACCCAAACATCACGGCTGATGGGCGCAAATAACACCTATCTAAAGGCCTTATTTGCTGCATAGGTCCAATGCCGACCCGTCACGATTTTGATCCTCTCCGGGTGTTCCAGCAAATTGGCACGTTCTGCGTACTGCGCACGGTCTGGGTGCAACGCGAAGAACATCCTCGGTGCACGGCGATTCAGGACCCACCAGGAAGAAGTACTTCCAAACTCTTACAAACTCTGACAAAACCATCATGGTGAATCTGAGATACCCTGAAAAAATATATAAAAATATGATAATCAATGATGATTCAATTAAAATTGAGGCATCCCATTTTTGTTAATTACCAGCTGCCTTCTGTTGAACCATCCAGGTGAACTCAGGTGGTTTCTGGATGTTTCTGGGCATGAAAAACACCAAAGCACTTGGATTTCAAGTGAAAAAATATTCATCTTGGGTTCAGTATCCCTTTTTATGATACTGGTACCTATAGATTTAAGATTTCCAGAGATTTTCCCAGTTCCATGGATCCACTCAGTTGGAATCTTGTAAGATTCGTAGCTCCAAAGCGCTCCCTTCAAACCCCAGCGGATAGTGAAGCAGACCATCATTGATCAACTAAATGATATGGATGCTTCCTAAAATGGGGGTACCCCTAAATCATTCATTTTAATAGGATTTTCCATTATAACCAACCATTTGACCATTTGGGGATCCCCCATTGATAGAAACCTCCATATAGCTTTGATGGCTAAATCCACGTGAAAATCCGATGAACCATCAGGTTGCCCCGTTTTATTTCGGATGGCTTCCGTAGGGCTGTTGGGTATATCCCATTAGGAGCCTCCAATCTTCTGGGTTAAAATCATTATCCACACTAAATAAAATCCCAAATCTGTGGAAATTCATCATTCGTGATATTTCCATGATTTTATCAGTATCTTCCCGGATTGTATTATATTATATCAGTATGATATTCCCACTCTCAGTATTAGTTAATCAATATTAATTAATCATCATTAACCATTATTAACCGTTATCTTCCCATGATATTCCAGATATCACCCATCATGGCAGCAAGGATGATATTCCCATAATTACATCCTGCAGATATTCCTATTATCAATATAGTATCACCATTATCAACTATGATGATAATGATAACCATAATTATCAGTAAATTAACCATCATGAACCATGTTAACCGTTGTATTCCCATGATTTTATCAATATATTAACCACTATTTTGACCCCTATATCACTAGTCCCATGAGATCCCCAGATATTCCCGGCTGCCCGGCGTCTGATGCAGCTGGAAGTTGTATTGGGCCCCGATGTGGGTCCACGGCGCATCGGCCCAGGTGCGGCTCCTCGGCGATGGACGTCTGACCCGGCAGCAAAAACATGATTTAAGCAACGAAAATAAGGATTTTTAGGGATACACAATATCTATATATATATATAGATAGATAATTAGATACTCTTTTTTCGAATGATTTTAAATATTTTACAATGAATTAGTTGATTTATGTCTTAGCTACAGTACTGTAAGTTGGTTTATAAAATTTGATAAGTAAGTAGGGTAACTGTTGGGTATATTGTGATTATGACTATGACTTTATAGCTATTGGGGTGAAACTAAACAAACTTATGACTGGGCACCAGCTTGTAAAAGGGTGATATAGTCAAATGTGTGATTACCTGTAGGTAAGTCTGGAAAATATCACTGAGCTCGCTCTTGGATTTATGGATCTATGGTTGCATGGGCTTATAGCCAGCTTGTTTCCTGCTATTCCTCCCATGGAGGCGAAGCGAGTCGCCAAGATCAGCCATGCTGATTAAACCTGCGAATCAGCCCCAAGTTGTGGAGTGCTTAAATCAAGTTGGATACGTTTTTGTTTCGTGCTGTGGATCTGCCACATTCGAAGGGAACTTCGCTGGAACTCCAACTTATGACAAAGTATCTTGCTCAGCTCATCCCAAAAAATGGCACATGGTCATCCCACACATCCCACAATGGCACATATTCGCCACAGTGCTCAGCTCATCCACAATATTATGGTCATCCCACAGTGCCAAAAAATCGTTGACGCAATAATTTCCACCAGTTCGGGGAATCCTCAAAGTCCAAATGACCTTTGGCCCCCGGTTTACAAACGCTGACCATTGGTTGACAAATGAATGGCAAAGAAAATGTGAACATAATGAATTCATTAAATTCAATTTTCCATGAATATGTATATATATATATATACATATAATATGAATATATAAGATTATATAAGTATACATTGGAACAATGAGTAACAATGATTCAGCAAGTGCTTGCATTTTCAGCAGCTCGGGCCATCGAAAAAAAAAACGCCCCGCCAAGCATCAGGTAATCCTGCTCTGGCCCGTTGCCCCTGACCAAAGGGGCCATGTAAATCCATGTTGTGTCATCTTTGGTCTGAAGAAATGTGATGTAAAAATGTGTAAAGTGCAAGCAACCCTAAATCCGATGATTTATCATAGTTTATCATTGTTTACCATGATGATGGTTTATCAATGTTTATCAAATCGCCATTTTCGGATGTTTTCGGGCATCCTCAATTTCAAATCATTCTCAGACACGCCCAGAGAACAACGATGGTAGCGATCGATGAGCTGGAAGACGACTCATCTCTGGGGGAAACCCCTTGCCCAAAATGATCATCACAGGGACGGGCCTTCAAGTGATTTCAGGCCAACACCCAAACTTGAAAACTTCATTTCAATGGTAGGAACCCTAGTTTCCTACAACACCTCCCCCCAACGAAAAGTACATCCAAGGATTCGGTGAAATGATCGGTTGAAACTGGTGCACCTCACGTGCTCTGGATGATTCGGTTCATCGAGTTCAGCCAGCATCTCATCCAGCATCTCTTGATTCGGCTGCCACAACATCACCCCGGCGTTGATTCCTTGAAACAAAGTTAACTGGGGATCTGTCAGGATAGGAAACATGCTGCATGGATCTACATGGCAGATTCCCGTCAGAAATTCAACATGCAATCCAAACAGTACCATATCATCCATATCCAAGTGCGACATCTCCAGCGAGACAACGCCTACGGGAAGATGATGGAAAATCGACCAAGCATCCGGTGCCCTGCCCCCACGACCATCGGGGCTGACTCTTGTCCTCGCCCAACCTGCGGTGAAGTTTGCTATGGAAAAATCTCAATTTTTGGACACATGACCTATTTCTTTGGGCCATGGCTTCCATAGCAAACCCAGAAAAAACACACACAAAAGCCTTACACATAGGTAGTGCAACTCCCTCCGATTTTTCGAGATATTTCGTTATTTTGGGCACTACTCAATTGGTCATGTACCGACAGGGTGTTCGCACGGGCATCTTGGATGCCCGGAATACTTTTCGTTTGGCCTGAAATCGTCCCCCACTGGGCCACCAATGTTTCGCCACAGAGGTGAACATAAGAAGTCTATAAAGTAGTACAGAACATATCATTAAACAATACTTATAACATTTTATGGCAATCCCTAAAAAGATAGAGACACTATGAGCAAACGTATGCACACATTTCATAAATGATGAGTTGACATAATGATGAAGTCGCACTAGCCATTTACGAATCATTCACCAACCATTTAAGAGACGACACCTCAAAATCCCATGGTTGATTTACCTGAAACACCCATCTTCAAATATGGCCACAATTGGGGTCATTTCCTGTATCTCATTGCATCCCATCACATCCCCAACTGCAAGGTGTTGCCGCGACAGTTGTCAGATGGTTTATAGACCACATTGACTAGTTCGATCTATCTACCATAAATCCAACAGTTAACGATAGTTGGCCTAGTTCTACACCATTTAGCTAACAGTTAGCTAGCAAACTGAGGCACCACTTTGTGGCAATTTTATTTGGTAGATTTGCCAATCCCAATATATAAATCCTCAAAAATCATTGCTGAGTAAATCCAGGAAAAGCACTAAATACCGGACTCAAAAATCCATTTCAATCAGCGCAAAGCCATGATTTTTTGGGGCCAACCAGCCGGAGCTTCACCCAGCCCTTGATCCATGACACAGGATGCTAGTGCCATCGATCGGTCGGCCGTGGCGGCTCTGACCCCAGTCGTTCATCCCACGCCGCAAGGCGGCAGGGGCCGGGAGGTTGAAGAGGTCGTCGATGTTCTGCCCTGAGCCGAAAAACACAGGGATTCTCTGGGGAAATTCATGGCCTACAGAACACCTCAGGAAACCCCCATCAAACGGAGATTCGAACATGAAATTTGGAATCTATGTTACATCATTTAACCATCAAAAGTGGGTTTTGACCATCAACATTGGCATTCCATAAGCTAGGATTCGTGGGATGTTTCTCCAAGTAGAGGCTGGCAGGTTGTTTGCTATTGAATGTTGAAAAAGGCTGGTCGCTGCGTCGTTCAGTATGGATTATACATGATTATACCAAGCCCATAGTAACTCCCAAAAAGATAGAAACAAGACTCATCATTATTTTGGTGGGATTCTACTTTTCTCTTGTCCGGGCGCTTGCTGCACATATTATATCCGTTGGGTTCCTCCATATCCGTATGTATATATGTGAATATATGTATTCAAGATGTACATATATAATTATATATATATATATATCTATAAAGTCGTGGCATATCTATATATATATATATACACATTATAGTGGGTATGGAGGAACCCAGCAATTTAGGGTTGGTCGTGGAGACTCCAGCCCAACTTTGCCAGTTCCCCGGTTGTTGGGTGAACATATCCAAGGGCAAGAAGAAGTGGCGCCAGAAATGCGTTATTTCACAAACAAGCAGGTATGACACCACCTATTTTGTAGGGATCTAACATGATCTAACTGGATATATATAATGACAATAGCTCTAGCATGGTCACGAGTGCATACGAGCACCAAACATCAGGGTTGATAGGGGTTTGCACCCAGTCGTTCCTCAGAATCCAAACTGCAACTTGTTAGTGCCGCACGCTTTTCCAGGAAGCTGTTCCCTCCTTCAGAGGGAAAATCATCCACGGTTTCACCCGCGCGAGCTGGAAGAAATCGATAAAGCGCAACCGCTTTCTTCGCAACATGCGGGACAACATCTGGATTTGCCCAAAAATGGGGGTACAACCTTACATGACCCACACGGATTCACATGGTACTTCTAACAGGGTCAGGATCATGATTTTGGTATGATAGTCCATTGGAATTACCGCATTGGCATAGGTAAACCCAGCTCATTCTTCGGACAGTCGCAATGACAAACAGGCCGGTTCCCGCGCTGCAAATCGAGGGATTTGAACCCAGCAAAGCTAATCGCAGGGAGCGCACCTCTGATCCATCAACAGCCAAGTGGTATTGATATGTGAATAAAACACAATAGAACTCTTATGTCTATGACACCATCGTGCAGGTACCCTGGCAACAGTGGTAGAGGAAATCCTGCTCCGGGCCATAGGCACATTTGGTGGCTTAAGCACCTGTCCCAGGACTCAAGTTTTGTCAAATCAATTCGTCATCCAAGTTTAACTTGGATGGAAAATAAAACGTTCAGAATTATGTCTCATCTTGACACTGGTTTCCATCTCAAATCGAAATAACATCCTTGATTTTGAATGTTGAAGACCTTGGAGCCACGGAAAACTTTAGGGGGCCATTGCCATGTCTGCTGATTCACCGGAAAAATGCGCAAAAACACATTTGCCGAAACAGAAAATTGTTGAAAATCTTGGGAGGAAAAAAAACCTCATCTCCCTTAGGTTTTGCAAATTGTGTACCTCAACACCATTTCTTTCCCCATGAAAGATCCCAAACCAGGTGGCATATATAACAAGCCTCCCTTAAACTCCCCTATTGAAACAGTAGCAAATGGGCTTGTCGGAAAATTAGATACCCCAAAATCAAATTTATCTAGTCAACTTACAATTCTTAGGGCTTGCCGGGGTGCTCCCATAAAATCACACCCACATCGAATATTCATTAAATCCCTAATGATTTGCGGTTAAACCATGTCCAAAGCTGCATTTTTGCGCTTGCCGACCCCATGACCCTTCCCCAGGCTTCGTGGATCTTTGTGGCTCCGTACCTGCAGGACAGGTAGACCAGTGCGGAGACGTAGATGCTGAAGACCAGCGTGCATGGCAGTGCGATGATGAGCCACGGCTGAGCCCAGCGTAATCCACTGCTGTCCTGTGGCGAACATCAACGCAAACATGGGAGAGCTGAATGCTACAGTGGAAGAAATCCCTCAGTTGATAGGTTGTTTATCCCATTATTTGTAGCGTTTCAACATGTTTCAACCATCCAAGGTGGTGCAGGATTTCTGCCATCCACTGTATTAATCAAAGGGAATGCTGTGAAAGGTTCGCTAATGGCTTTGAACCAAATTTTGGAGGTGCAAAAAAACAAAAATGCAACACATACAGATGGGTTTGTCTGAAACTAGCTTGCCAGAATGATCTCTAGTTTATTTCATGGTTGATCATGTTTTTCTTCATGGTTCACTCTCACTCACCATGCGCGAGTTTCTGGTCGTGGAAGTTTCGGATTGCTGGCATAGCATACCCCACCAGTTCCCAACGGGGTGAGGCCAAGGGAGGCCGATTCAATGGCATCGATGACAGCCAGAAACTCCAGGGTGTTCAGGAAGAAGGTAGACAAACCTTGGGTTTTAGCTGAATCAAAGGATTGATTTCAGATGAGGGATGCCTTAAGGGGATACCCCCGTCAACATACCTCAGAATAATTATAATATTATTCCGGCACCCGTTGAGTTCAAAAAAATAAATTATTCTAAGAACTCATGAGTTCATATGGAAAAATGGAATAATTTCCATCAAAATGATACCGGTATAGTCTATTTCTAGCCAAACGCAAGTGATCGTAAGCAGCTGCGCGCAAACGGCCGAAAACGGTTTCCCTTCTTGCAGAGCTGGGGCACAAATTTAAACAATTTTCAACATACTCAGATAGGATCAAGAAGAGTCAGAATAGTATCTTTAAACAAATTTCCTCTCAGCAACCCACTGGCTGAACATGGTTTTAGTTGGTTTTGGGTGTTTTCCAGTTTCTGGGCTAGTTTGGTGGTTCTGGCCTTAGTGGGAATGAGTGGGAAAAGCAAAATATTTGGTTGTCACTGGTTCATTTTTTTGCCAATTTCTGGATTTGTTTTGTGATTGTAGCCGCTGCCCCCTTTTGTTTTTCAGGGGTGCCAGGCATCTCCAATACCTCCAGAATAATTTCTCCCCTGGGGAAAGCCCGGAAAAAAACAACAACTTGGCTCTCTTCTAGAGGTTTTCCCAACTTTGCGTCCGCCACCCTATTTCTTCCATATTCCCTTCATTTCCTTCCAAAAAACTCCCGTTGGCCATAGTGGGAATGGGTGGGAAATGTGTGGGGTTTCATTTGTTTTTTTGACAATTCTTACCAATTTCTGGGCTAATTGGGTGATTAGCTGTCCGCTTTCGTTTTTGAGGGGTACCAGGCATCTCCAATACCCCTAGAATAATTTCCCCCCTGGGGAAAGCCCACACAATGGCACTCAACCTGGCCTTTTCCTAGGTATTTTCCCAACATTCCCCATTCATTGCCACCCAAAGAGCTCTCGAGAGAAAGTACCGTGAGAGAAAGGTGGTCCGGTCGACACTAGTTGTGCGTGCAAGTACGCTGCAAAAAAAGGTTGGCAGCAATTGCCCAAACTGCATGATGCCTTAAAAAACTGCAATTGGCATTTCCAGCAAAAAGTTTTCAGGCAAACACCGCCAAGCTAGGAATGGCTTTTGGAAAGGCCAGGCCAAATGTAGGAAGTATAGGCTGCTTCAAGATGTTTTAAGTTACCAAAAATTATTCCAAAACCTAATTATTCCGGGGTATCTTGACGGGCTGGATCATGATTTTCAAATTCCAACATGCATAATCGTATACCTACCCCCCTCAAAAATTATTCCTTGAAAATTATTCCAAAAGAAATTATTCCATAACCTAGTTGATACCCTGGAATAATTTCTTAAGGCATGGGTCATGATTTCAGGTTCCCTTTTTGAAGACCATAGTTTGTTCCCCATAAGCATAGAGATTTCCGGAAGAACCCATATAAACCAATTCAGGGACTGAAAGAAACAAGTAGATGTTAGATGGGTTCCAAATTCCAGGTTTTGAGCTTTTCAAGTCTTTTGGGATTGGCCACCAAGCGGCCTGTAAGCATTTCAAAACTGGAAAACAAACACCGCTTGTTCTTAAATGTTGGCGACAATTCATGGCAATGGAAAGCCCTCATTGATAGATTTCCTTATTTAAACTTATTGACACATCCCTTTTGATCGGGAATTCCGAAGCCATTCATGCTTGATTATCATGGTTGTCCTGATTCCCAAAGTGTAAGAACTTTGATCCCACCAAGTTATCAAGCCAAATCAACCAAACCCAAGCAACTGATGAAGAGTTCCGCTACAGCTGCAATAGTGGTGATGATCACCACCGTTTCCCCAAAGGATCGTTCTCGTACCTCACGGCGGGCCTGCGCAATGTCGGCACAGCCACCCACCAGGGCGATAAAAATGTTCACCACGGCCAGGGTGGTGATGGTGTGGGCCAAATCGTTGAGCAAAACCAGCATGTCGTAGCCATCACCAGGAGCACTGAAACACAAGGCATCCTGGAGATTTTGAGGAAACGCAATGGTAGTGGATGATATCAACTATAACTACAGATACTTCACCATATATAAACCATAAACCCAACAGTGAAGCTACTTTTCTCAACCAAGTTCGAAAATTCAAACCAGGCCTTGACATTTCATCGCATTTCACCATAAACTCGAGTTAAACCGTCAACCCACCATTTTTTCACCCTCAAACCCAGCATTTTTCAGGCTTTCCTCAGTCCACTCCATCCCACCACAGCCATCCCAGCCACCCCAGCACCAGCAGCTCCGCCTTAACGGTTGCCACCGCCACCGCCGCTTCGCCCACCGACGTCACCAGGAGAACTTCCAGCGAGACGTCGGCCACGAAGCTCACTAAGGTGGCCAGCAAAATGGTGGGAGCCATGAAGCCCTGCGGGGTCGGCAAGCTGAACATTCCGGATGGATTCATATGGATTACCATCTGGTTATTTAACATAGGGAAAATCCCAACCATAAATGGAGGTTTATAGCGGGGAAAATCATCTGTTTCTATGGGCCGTTTTCCAGTTCGCTATCTTAAATAACCAGAGGGTACTAGGGATTAATATGGGTTAATTCATGGATGATTAATGGCTTAATTCATGGATTACTGGGGATGATTTCAAGATTAGGGTTATATAATATTGGATTAATTAGATTTAATTGGTATGGATTAATATTTTACCCATATTGTGACACTTTTTTTGGTGCTTTATAGCACCTGCTTGAAGAGATTCACTTCCAATTTATGGTTGAAACATGGTGAAACTATGCTCCCTGGAATCGGAGGAACTCGATTTTCAGACACACCGAGTTCAGTTAGTGAGTGAGCTTTATTCAATGACAAAAAATACTTGTAGAAATAAGGCCTTGTAGTCAAGGTTTTGATGATGAAGCATATGAACGATAGAAATCAGGCCTAATTCAAGATTCAAATGATCATAGCCATAGCCAACCTGATAGATGCCCTGCCAGAAAGTGGTACTATCTCCCCTCCAATTGCCTAACAATCAAGCTAAAGCTACATCTTGGTGTGGCTTGTTGATCCTTTTCTACGCTCCCGCATGCAATTGGAAAATGTGGATCAAACATGATCACACCACGATTTGGAATCACTTCGATACTTATCATGAGATACAGTTGGAACATTAGCATCATTAAACATCATCAAACATCATTAAACATCTCTGAAACCACCCAGAATTCCAATCCCCAAACCACCCTTGTGGCTTTCTTCGCCATTCCCGCGTCACGCCGCGTCATGTCACGTCCGCGCCTGGTTGCGGCATTTCAAGCGCCAAGCCAAAAGGCAAAAGAACACGGCCATGAAGTCCACGATCATGTCGCTTAGTTCAGCTTCAAACATCACACCCACCTAACGGAACCACGATGAACCACGATGAACCACGGTTCCCGCAGGTTGTTGTGGCTTAATGGGTTTGCATTTCCCTAAGGCTTTAATTGATTTTATTTGTTTAAGTGGGAGGTGTTTCAAGCAATTCCATCCCCACCAAAAAAACAAACACACGAAACAATTGAAGCGTGTGCTCTGAACCAGAACAAACAACGAAAGAATACAATTCAACAAGTTTGGCTAAACTGAGCCAGCCGCCATGTACGTCAACTGGCGCCAAGGTTCGCAGTTCTGTGCTGAGCTGCAGTGGGTACTATCTTGTGACCGGGCGGCAATCACCAGTCCTTTACAAATCGATGGATCTGACCTGCTTCGGTTGCAGAATTTCAAGGACAAATTATGGGTGAAACCATGGTTGTTACCCCTTACAAATGCATGGCGTGTCAACCATAAATGGTTCCTTGCACGAATTCTTGGAAGTGGCCCTGAAATTGAATGGTACCTTAGTAATATTAGTACCTTACAGCCTTAGTACCTTTCTTTACACATGAAAAATGGACAAAGAGCTACGTCCCATCCCCACCTGTCTCGGTTGCAAATGCCATTGTTGCTGAAGAATTGCACGCGTTCGCTGGAGCAATCAATGCCAAAGTACTCTGGGGGACAAGGCCCCGTGAGGTTGGTTTGATTTGCATCTGCTGCCTGCCAGAGGAACACTTCTTGACGTGCTCCACTTGGCAACAGGTCAAAATATGGAACCCGGGAACCCATTTATCTATCTATATATTTATATAGATATGTTTTCGCCCTATTGTGTTGAATACTTAATTCAACCAGCAGTTTTATTATCTGTGTGGTAGTGGATGTTGACCTGTAGCAAATCCATTACGCCACATACTTGTGCGAGTTTTCTCCTTATTTCATGGCCAACCTGAGATACTGTTCAATCTTTTTTTGTTTATCTACCTCACCATTTCTGGCAACAACATTCAACTGACCTACAACTCACCAAGGTTTCACAAGTTATGCATACATGTTACAACGTTCCCACTTTATCCTGTGCAATTTCTGCTAAATCACACGTCTGAAATGAGGAAATGACAAACCATCCGGTGTGTTGGTTGTCGGGGACCCCACATTGCCAAGCATCATGCATGCAAAGCACCACATAGCGAGGTTGTCAATCCCTCCCGCTAAACGTGTATATATATAATTATATGTACATATATATATAATATAATATATATATAATATAATATATATATATATATTATATCCAAACCCGTGCTTAGAATACAGGTCTAATACTGGATCTATTCTTGACCCCAAACATTGGAGGTTCCCCATTCTTTTTAGGTGAATCCCACAAATTACTTGGATTTGCTCAAGATGATTTGCCATTGTTCCCATCGGTTTATCTAGTATTTGGGAACTAGGAATATTTGTCATATTGCCCCGAAACACCAAATCCAAGAAAGTAGTTGCCGCTCATCATTTCTCCTTGCATGGGCCATGGAGTTAGTCAGCTGGTTAGCAATTAGGTTATGAATAACATAGCTGGGTTGTACTAAGTCATTTGCTAATAGGTTAAAAATTATTGCTCATTTATATTATTAATAATATAGCTAGTCAACTGGTTAGTTAATAAAGAGTAATAACTTATTATGCTAACTGATTATGGCCCATCTAAGTAAGCTGGGAAACCCGATGATCAACTCCCAATTGTTGATGGTTTATACGGTTGATACCAGCCCATTTCCCATGATTTTGGGGACGCTTTGTGAGTTTACCACATTCATATGGCAAACCCAATCCAAAACCAACATTTATGATCATTTATGTGATATCACTGATATTAACCGTATAATAACTATATATATATAATTATATACATATATATATATATATACATATGATCCATTATTTCCAAGCAAATCTTCCAGATCTTCCACCTTGAACTTCGCCAGAAAAATGTCCGCATCTCCAGCGCTGGGATTGCCATCCAGGTGCCCTTCAACGAAACCCGCCAGAAACGCGTTGCCGTTTCCATCCACCTGTGCCGAAGCCGACTGGTCGGGAATGATTTTGTGGGTCTCTTTTCATGTGTGGACTTCATACAGAATTTAAGATTAGTTGATGAATTTGAAAGACCTTGGTAAATCGATGTATATCAATTTTGAAGTTTCATTCTAAACAAACATGACCTCAACTATATAACCTTTAAGTAGCAAATGCAAAGTTAAAATCTATGTGGGCGATTGGCGAAGCATTTGAATTTTTTGGGCACATTTTAATTTACGACTTGAATTGTGGTGGCCCACCATCAAGCCATTAAGCCAGGGGTATCTCATGATACCGGCCACAACTGCAACGCAAGGGACCCAAAATGAATCGACCCACTATTAGCGGGGTTTATACGTAGGGATATTTAAACATAGATGGAGGGGATTGTAAGAGTTCTTGGATTTTCCCTCATCACCTCTTCAATTCAACCAGGAGATAGTCCACCACGTGGGCGATCAATAATTAATCTTGCTCCTTTCGGAGGCTGCACTGACAAGTGCATTAAAGGTTCTCATAATTTCTGGTATATACGGTATATACATTAAAATATATTAAAATCATATGACATCTTTTTGACATCTATATACACTGCTAGCAGCTATCAGGCCATGCCCAACACACAACGGCCCCCGTTGTTTCCACCTGCAGTCCCCAACATTCCTCAGTATCGCCACCGCCATGTTCCACGGTCCATTGATGGACGCCGTTGCTGTCGAAGTGGACCAGAAAAATGTTGTCGGTGTCGTCCCCACCGCCCATGGACCTCTCCAAGCTGCCTGCAACCCAGGCGCCACGCCCATCCACCTGGGGGCACTCCAAGAAAGGGAAAAATTGGTTTAATGCCATTTAATAAGCCCCTACTGTTGGGGTTGATGGCGATTTTAAAAAAGGACTTTAACTGGTTTGGTGGTTGAATGTGGTACCCCAAAAGTGTTCAATCATAGGGGATGTATGCTAGTCCAAACAGTTCCTGGAAACTAGATCATAGATGACGGTATGTGGAACAACCAGCCAGTAGCGAGCTTCAAAACGCGCAGAAGCAACTGGATTATTAAAAACCACCCCGCTCAGAACTCCCGGTTTAGTCACTTTAGTCTTGGACCTATTCATTTTGGGATTACATGGGGTTACTATGCTTCTTAACCATTGTTAACCGAACCATTATTAGGCTTATGTAACCATATCGTGCATCATTCTCACGAAGCTATACCGACAAAAAACCCTTTGTTCCTCACATCTGCCTGGAGGACATTGGCATATTCCCCCATGGGGCCACCGCGTTGTGCGGTCCATTGGTGGACACCACTGCTGTCGAATTTCATCAGGAACAGGTCGAAGGATCCGGCGTTGGTGTTTCCGTCCAGAGAACTCTCAGTGTACCCAGCCACCCAGGCATGGTCAGAAGAATCCACCTGGAAATCTTCGGGGATGGTGGCCAAGGTTACAGCTGGCAAAGCCAATCTGCTGTGACTTCTGAGATCTTTAACCAATTGTTGAACAGGAACAGGACACCTGGTGGAAATTCAAAACGGAATGCAACCAATGTCGAGAGGGTCAACATTTGTTTTCTTGCAGCAATGGTGTGCGAAGCCACTGATCTGCTGTTTGTTTCAGTGCCAGCTCTTTACCCAATCTCATGGTGCCCGTGTACTCAAAACATAACCCTATGGGTAAATGAATCCCAAGTGGTGGATCAAGTAGTGGGAAAATCACACACATGTGGGTAAGCAAGTTTCAAATAGATTTGTCTGGAAGTCTGGACAGAGGGTGCCCTCTTTTTCCACTTGTCTGTCGTTCATCATTTTCCCCTTTCTAAATGCCTCCCAGCCTGCAGTGCTCTAGCCTCATCAGCTCGAGGACCACCATGTAGCACAGTCCACTGATGGACACCTCTCTCGTCAAATTTCATGAGAACAATGTCCAGGTCGCCTGTCGCTTCAACGATTGGTGGTGACAAAATGATGAACACCCGGACAGCGAACTGAAAACTGAGCGAAACGCATGACACAGTTAAATAATTTTAATGCACTAAATGAATCTAAACGATTCAATTTTCAAGTCTTAATTCTATAATTGGAGTGTGTAATCTCCAACATCAGGTGTTTACACAATTCTTTAAACTTGTTTAAACCTCACTTTTTTCTCCATTCTACAACCCATTTCCACAATCCATTGGGGTTGTTTGGCTGGGTCCGGCTCCAGCTCCTGAGGCAACGTGTCCATCCAAATCACCACGTGTAGTCCCCGCCAACCAAGCATTGCCGGCAGCATCCACCTGGGTAGACCCCAACAAGCCAAGACATACGGTAGATTGAACTTTTTCTGGGTGATTAATAATATTAATATATTAATGTGGTAAATCTATGAACAAACCAACCCCAATGTTACCAGAATAGGGTTGGTATTGACAATCAGAAAATTGGGTTTATCATAAGTTTTCATATCTTTTCAATACAGTTTGGTGCTTGTCGCTTTTAGCATTTTGAAGGTCAAGGTACTGAAGTTGGAGGTACCTAGCATGTTGTCTCATGTGTATGTGGATTACCCCTCCGTGAAACAACCAGTTGGAAGGTGTTTCGTGCTCATGGAAATCTAATAATCTAAGTATCCTAAAGACCTGCAGTAGTAAGGTGCGATAGTTGTTGATAGCCTCGAGGGCCCTTCTCTATGGCGGTATTTTTCACAACTATGCACCTCAACAATCGGGGCCAAGATTTGCCTGCTTAGATGGGGCATGGGATAACTTAACTGGTTGTAACAGGGTTATAAGCCACTACATCTCCGATTATAATCCATTTCCTAGCTAGTCAACTAGCTCCACTTCCCATCCAAGTCCCAATCTCCTCTCTCATACCATTTTCCAATGAACAGCTGGGAGCCCGATGAACACTCTAAGTTGGAGTGTGGTCAAAAAGTGCTTACTTCATCCATTTACACATGGGATAAAGGGAGGTATAGACCGAACTGTTTTGTATGGGATGCGTATGTGTACGTATGTTTGTGTATACAGTATACATGTAGTATCTAGTATGCATTAGGTACTATATATATATAATCTGCAGTGTATATACAAGTAATATATGAAAATCCCCTCCGGTAAATTAACATCGATATTTGCACATCCACCATTTCAAGATCATTTCCTTTGGGTTCTCATAGCTCAAAACAGGATCCACATCATGTGCCACCCCTAGTTCTGCATAAGCTGGTTCATAAACACCATGATATAACTTATATATAACTTATAGACCATATGCCCCGGATATATGAGTTACTACCCAGCTTAGCTAACTCATTAGAGTTGGTGAAAATCTCAATTTTGCTGGGTCAAGCATCTATAAACCAACTAATGTGGGATCCTGATTGGTGTGGGGGGAGGCTATTGTGTACAGTTTTTCCGAAATAATTCAGGATCAGTGGAAATGATTTGGGGTGTCGCTATTGTGTAAAGTTTCTTTTGGTGGTATTTTTCAGTTTTTTAAATCATTTTTTTAATATTATTTATTTTCACTTTTTATTCAATTTTTTCAGTTGCTTATTATATTTTTTGTTTTTGTTTTTTTGAACAATTATTTTTCTTTATTTTTTATTTCAACTTTTTAGTTTTTCCATGGGCAATGTTGATCCGAAAAAATATGTTTGTTGTGGGGGTCCACTATTGTGTCCAGCTGTTGTCTGAAGAAACATTTTTTTAAGGTTAATTATATCCCATCAGCAATGATTAATCATAAAGGATGCCTTATTAAAACAACATAAAAACAGCATTCAAACAATTTTTCAAGGGAGTAGTCCATGAGCAACCCTGATCCTCAATAGTATGTTTGTTTTGGGGGTCCACTATTGTGTCCAGCTGTTGTCTGAGGTGAAAATGTACAAAATCATTCTCTCCTTTCCTTGTCCTTTCCTTTGCTAATACTTTTCTCTTTTTTACTTTCTTAGCCCCATTCTTTTGGAATTCTCAAAATGTCTAATTTCCCAAAATATAGGATGCCTTATTAAAACCCAATCAAAAAACAACAGCATTCAAACAATTTTTCAAGGGAGTAGCCCATGAGCAATCCTGATCCTCAATAGTATGTTTGCTTTGGGGGTCCACTATTGTGTCCAGCTGTTGTCTGGGGTGAAAATTTTCAAAATCATTCTCTCCTTTCCTTTTCCTTTCCTTTGCTAATACTTTTCTCTTTTTTACTTTCTTAGCTCCATTCTTTTGGAATTCTCAAAATGTCTATTTTCCCAAAATATAGGATGCCTTATTAAAACCCAATCAAAAAACAACAGCATTCAAACAATTTTTCAAATGAGTAGCCCATGAGCAACCCTGATCCTCAATAGTATGTTTGTTTTGGGGGTCCACTATTGTGTCCAGCTGTTGTCTGAGGTGAAAATGTTCAAAATCATTATCTCCTTTCCTTTTACCCTTTCCTTTGCTAAAGCTTTTCTCTTTTACTTAGCTCCATTCTTCTTGGAATCAAAATCAAAAGGTTTTTCCAAAGGGTGAACTTCAGCCAACCAAGGGATTTCTGTGGGATTTCCATGAAATTTCTATTGGATTTCTATGGTATTACTATTGGGTTTCTGTGGGATTCCTATGGGTTTTCCATGATATTTCTATTTCTATTGGATTCCTATGATACTTCTATGAGATTCCTATGGGATTTAAAAAGGATTTCTATGGTACTTCTATGATATTTCTAGAGGATTTCTTTGGGAATTCTATGGGATTTCCATGAGGTGTCTTTGGAATTTCTATGGTGGTTCTATGATATTTCTACGGGACTTCTACTGGATTCCTGTGGGATTTCCATGGTATTTCTATGATATTTCTTTGGGACTACTATTGGATTTCTATTGGATGTCGATGGTATTTCTATGGGATTCCTATGGGGTTTCAAAAGGATGTCTATGGGATTTCGATTGGATTCCTATGGGGTTTCCATGAGGTTTCTATGATATTTCTAGAGGATTTCTATGGGATTTCGGAAGGGATGCTATGGGAATTCGATGGTATTCTTATGGGATTTCGACTGGATTCCTATGGTATTTCTTTGGGATTACTATGGGATTCCTATGGCATTCCTAAGGGAGTTCCATGATGTTTCTATGATATTTCTATGGTATTTCTATGGGATTCCTATGGGGTTTCAAAAGGATGTCTATGGGATTTCCATTGGATTTCTATGTTATTTCTATGATGTTTCTATGGGATTTCTTTGGGATTACTATGGGATTCCTATGGCATTCCTATGGGAGTTCCTTGATATTTCTGTGATATTTCTATGGGATTACTATGGGATTCCTGAGGGAATTCTATGGGATTCTTATGGGATTTCTTTGTGGTTCCTATGCTATTCCATGTTATTTCTATGATCTTTCTATGGGATTTCTGTGGGATTCCTATGGGATTTCCATGATATTTCTATGATATTTCTATGGGATTACTATGGGATGTCACTTGAAAGTAAGTTGAAATCAATTGAAAATAAATTCAAACTAAATTGAAATCAATTGAACATAAATTGAAAGTAAATTGGCATCAATTGAAAGTAAATTGAAATCACTTGAAAGTAAATTGAAAATAAATTGAAATCAATTGAAAATCAATTGAAAGTAAATTGAAATCTATCAAAATCAATTGATCAATAGACCCTGACACTTAAAAAAATCTAAATTAAAGAGGATCCAAGAATTGTTTGGGGGGGGCGCCCCATGATACTAATCAGGATCCAGCATTATGCCTAATGTTCACTGGGGCACCACCGTGCATGATACTGACTGCATCATACCCTTGTACTGCACCTGCAGGGCATGAGCAATGTCTTCTCCAGGGCCGCCCCGTTGTGCAGTCCACTGGTGGGCCCCGACGCTGTCAAATTTCATGACGAAAAGGTCGACATCACCTTTTCGAAATGGACAAAAACATGTGGAGAACCTACAACAATGGTCCATATTAATGCGTTAACGGTGATTTTGTATGATTTTATAGTTTTTAATGAGAGTTCACCTGAACAAATAATGAGGAAGTGTTCGCTGGCGTTTTTTACTCCAAAATTGCAGGATTTACAGTCACTCACCTCAGGATTTTTTTGGGGCAATGCCACAAGATCGGATGGTTTGACAGTGATGATCCACATGTTTGGGTATTCTC